GGGAGGGAGGGAGGAAGGAAGGAAGGGAGGAAGGAGGGAGGGAAGAACAAAGGAAGGAAGGAAAGAAGAGAGGAAGGAAGAAAGGAAGGAAAGGAGGGAGGAAAAAGGGAAGGAGGGAGGGAGGGAAGAAGGAAGGAAGGGAGGGAGGGCAGAAGGAAGGAAGTAGGAAAGGAGAGATGGAAGGAAGTAGGAAAGGAGAGATGGAAAGAAGAAGAGAAGGGAAGAAGGGAAGAGGGAGGAAGTGAAGGAGAGAGACAAGGAGAAAGAGTGGGAGGGTGGAAGAAGGGAGTGCACTTTCCATCTCCTTCCTGTGGGATGATACTTTTTGAGCGCACCATATATGGCCTTTTTTTACAACCTCTTCTCTCTCACATGCCACATTGAGTCCAAGATGGCAGTAGTCAGAAAACAGCAGAGTAGTAAGGAGTGAGGGTTTCATGGTGGTTCACTATAACCACAGAGATACAGACCTTATATGTAAAGTCATACTAATATGGTAAGAATCCTGATGGCATTGCATACTGTAGTTTATTGTGATTAATGTCATCCATATATCAATGTGTGAGTAAGAACGGCAAAAGTAGGACATGACATTTCAGTCCAGAAACTACATAGATGAAGATCTGCTAAACACTGGTGTTTGGGCCAAAAACTAGTCATCCAGCTCAGATTTAAAAGGGTATTTGATTAGCATTTAAATGGATAGAGTGAAGCCAGAAGAAACTTCATATATCCTATTGCTTGGCAAACCATCGGATTTGGATAGATGCATCCAAAATGATAAAATAGAAAAACCTGCAACAGATCACTTCTTCTTTAGAAAAATTGATCATCTTCCTAAAATTATTGTTATGCTATAAATATTTATTGAATGTCTACTTCAGAAAATCAGACAAAGTATTGGCCTTGAAGTGCTTACATTCTAATGGGAAATATAGAGAAAATACATAAAAACATGATAGAGATAGAAAGATAATAGGTAGATAGATGATTACATGTAGATAGATGTAGACAGATGATAGAACAATACATGATACATAGAAAGATAGGTAGAAGAGAGATAGATAGATACACAGATACATAGATAGATGATAGATAGAAGATAGATACAGGTAGTTAGGTAGATGGATAGAAAGATGATAGACATAAAGAAGGATACGTCAATGCAGATAGATACATAGATAGGTTTGTTGTTATATGGTAAGTGATGAGAATTCTATTGAACTGAATAAGGAACATTGTCAACGCAGCATACAGGAGACACATTTACAATTTAGAAGTCATAGTGAGGGTAGGCTTCAGTAAGTAATGCTAGAGCAAAGAATTTAATGTGGTAAGGGAGTGAGGTCATGCATATGTCACAGGAAATATCTTAGAAGCAGGAGAAACAGTAGAAGCCATGGTCTTTAAACAGGAATATGCCTGGAGTGTTCATGGAATGGGTAGCAGGCCAGTTGGGAAAGAGGAAGAAGTGAGCTCTACAATCTGACAAGAGATCAGATTCTGCAGAACCTCATAGACTGTGACAAGGACATATTTTCCTCTAAAGAAACGATTTGATCTATGAAAACTGCTTTCTGTATGCATCAAAAAAAATATTTTGATAAAATATTTGCATGCCCTCTCTTACCACTCCTATTCAACATAGTATGAAACTTCTGGCCAGGTCAATCAGTCAAGAGAAAGAAATAAACGATATTGAAAGAGGAGGAGACGAAGTAAAATAATTGTCTTGTTTGCGGATGACATGACCCTATATCTAGAAACTCCAATATTTCAACCCAAAAGCTTCTTTTTTTTTTTTTTTTTTTTGAGACGGAGTTTCGCTCTTGTTACCCAGGCTGGAGTGCAACAAAAGCTTCTTAAGCTGATAAGCAACTTCAGCAAAATCTCAGGATACAAAATCAATCTGCAAAAATCACAAGCATTTTACTATAAACCAACAACAGACAGAGAGCCAAATCACAAATGAACTCCCCTTCACAATTGCTGCAAAGAGAATATAAAACCTAGGAATACAGCTAACAAGGGAAGTGAAGGACCTCTTCAAGAACTACAAACCACTGCTCAAGGATATCAGAGAGGACACAAACAAATGGAAAATCATTTCACGTTCATGCATAGAAAGAATCAATATTGAGAAAATGGCCTGACTGCTCAAAGTAATTTATAGATTCAGTGGTACTCCCATTAAACTACCACTGATGTTCTCCACAGAATTAGAAAAAAACTATTTTAAAATTCATAGTGGAAGCAAAAAAGAGCCCATATAGACAAGACAATTCTAAGAAAAAAGAACAAAGCTGGAGGCATCACACTACTGGGCCTCTACCATTAATACAAGGCTACAGTAACCAAAACAGCATGGTACTGGTACAAAAACAAACACATAGACCACTGGAAAACAATAGAGAACTCAGAAACAAGACTATACATCTACAACCATCTGATCATCAACAAACCTGACAAAAACAAGCAATGGGGAAAGAATTCCCTATTTAATAAATGGCAATGGGAGAACTGGCTAGCCATATGCAGAAAACTGAACTGGACCCTATTCTTAAACCTTATACAAAAATCAACTCAAGATGGATTGAAGACTTAAAGGTAAACCCCAAAACTATAAAACTCTAGAAGATAACCTAGGCAATACTATTCAGGAAATAGGCACCAGCAAAGATTTCATGATTGATGTATTGATGTGGTTTGGCTGTGTACCCACCCAAATTGCATCTTGAATCATAACTCCTACAATTCCTTCATGTCATGGAAGGAACCCAGTAGGAGGTAATTGAATCATTGGGGTGGATCTTGCCCATGTACTTCTCATGATAGTGAATAAGTCTCATGAAATCTGATGGTTTTAAAAAGAGTATATCCCCTGCACAAGCTCGCTCTCTCCCTCTCCTCCCCGTCTCTCTCTCTCTCTCTCTCTCCCCCTCTCTGCCTGCTGCCATTCATTGTAAGCTGTGACTTTCCTTGAATTCTGTCATGACTGTGAGGCTTCCCTAGCCATGTGGAGCTGTAAGTCCATTAAAATTCTTTCTTTTGTAAATTTCCCAGTATCGATTATGTCTTTATCAGGAGTGTGAAAACAGACTAATATAGTATTGGTACCAGTAGAGTGAGGTACTGCTGAAAAGACACCCAAAAATGTAAAAGTGACTTTAGAACCAGGTAACAGGCAGAAATTGGAAGTTTGGTGGGCTCAGAAGAACACAGAAAAATGTGGGAAAGTTTGGAACTCCCTAGATACTTCCTGAATGGCTTTGACCAAAATGCTGATAATGATATGGACAATAAAATCCAGGCTGAAGTGGTCTCAGATGGAGATGAGGAACTTGTTGGGAACAAGAGCAAAGGTGACTTTTGTTATGTTTTAGCTAAAAGACTGGCAGTACTTTGCCTCTGCCTGAGAGATTTATGGAACTTTGAACTTAAGAGAAATTATTTAAGGTGTCTGGCAGAAGAAATTCCTAAGCAGCAAAGCATTCAAGATGCAACATGGGTGCCGTTGAAGGCATTCAGTTTTATAAGGAAAGCAGAGCATAAAAGTTCAGAAAATTTGCAGCCTGACAATGCGATAGAAAAGAAACTCTCATTTTCTGAGGAGAAATTCAAGCTGGTGGCAGAAATTTGCATAAGTAATAGGGATCCAAACATTAATCACCAAGACAATGGAGAAAATGTCTTCAGGGCATGTCAGACACCTTTGTGGCAGCCCCTTTCATCACAGGCCCAGAGGTATAGGAGGAAAAAATAGTTTTGAGGGCCAGGCCCAGGGTCCTTTTGCTGTGTACAGTCTAGGGACTTGGTTCCCTGCATTCCAGCTGATCCAACTAAAAGGGACCAAGGTACAGCTCGGGCTGTTGCTTCAGAGGGTGGAGGCCCCAAACCTTGGCAGCTTACATGTGATGTTGAACCTGTGGGTGCACAGAAGTCAAGAATTAAGGTTTGGGAACCTCTGCCTAGATTTCAGAGGATGTATGGAAATGCCTGCATGTCCAGGGGGAAGTTTGCTGCAGGGACGGGGTCCTCATGGAAAACCTCTGCTAAGGCAGTGCAAAGGAGAAATATGAAGGTGGAGACCCCACATAGAGTCCCTGCTAGGGCACCACCTAGTGGAGCTGTGAGAAGAGGACCACCATCCTCCAGACCCCAGAACGACAGATCCACCAACAGCTTGTGCCATGTGCCTGGAAAAGTCAGAGACACTCAACACCTGCCCATGAAGGCAGCCAGGAGGGGCACTACACTCTGCAAAGCCACAGGAGTGGAGCAGCCCAAGGCCATGGGAGCCCACTGCTTGCATCAGCATGACCTGGATGTGAGACATGAAGTCAGAGGAGATAATCTTGGAGCTTTAAGATTTGACTTCCCTGATGGATTCTGGATGTGCATGGGGCCTGTAGCCCCTTGGATTTGGCCAATTTCTCCCATTTGGAATGGCTGTATGTATTCAATGCCTGTACCCCCATTGTATCTAGGAAGTTACTGACTTCCTTTTGATGTTACTGGCTCATAGGTAAAAGGAACTTGCCTTGTTTCAGATGAGACATTGGACTGTGGAGTTTTAAGTTAATGTTGAAATGAGTAAAAACTTTGGGGGACTGACTGCTAGAAAGGCATGATTGGTTTTGAAATGTTAGGATATGAGATTTGGGAGGGACCAAGGATGGAATTATATGATTTGGCTGTGTCCTCACCCAAATCACATTTTGAATTATAACTCCCACAATTCCCATGTGTTGTGGACTGAAACTGGTGGGAGGTAATTGAATCATGGGGGTGAGTCTTTCCATGTTGTTCTTGTGATAGTGAATAAGTTTTATGACATATGATACTTTTAAAAAGAAAAGTTCCCTTGCACAAGCTCTCTCTTTCTCTCTTTGCCTGCTGTTTTCCATTGTAAGATGTGACTTGCTTCTCCTTGCCTTCGGCCATGATTGTGGGGCCTCCCCAACCACGTGGAACTGCAAGTCTTAATTATTAAGCCTCTTTCTTTTTTTTTTTTTTTTTTTTTTTTGAGACAGAGTTGCACTCATGTTACCCAGGCTGGAGTGCAATGGCGCGATCTCAGCTCACGGCAACCTCCGCCTCCTGGGTTCAGGCAATTCTCCTGCCTCAGCCTCCTGAGTAGCTGGGATTACAGGCACGCACCACCATGCCCAGCTAATTTTTTTGTAGTTTTAGTAGAGACGGGGTTTCACCATGTTGACCAGGATGGTCTCGATCTCTTGACCTCGTGATCCACCCACCTCGGCCTCCCAAAGTGCTGGGATTACAGGCTTGAGCCACTGCGCCCGGTCTAAGCCTCTTTCTTTTGTAAATTTCCCAGTCTTAGGTACGTCTTTATCACTAGCATGAACATGGAAGAATACAATGATGAAAATGCCAAAAGCAATTGCAACAAAAGCAAAACTTGATAAATGGGATCTAATTAAATTCAAGAGCTTCTGCATAGCAAAAGGAACCGTCAGAGCAGACAACCTACAAAATGGAAGAAAATTATCCATCCAACAAAGGTCTAATATCCAGAATCTACAAGGAACTTAAATTTATAAGAAAAATGCCAATAACCCCACTAAATAGTGGGCAAAGGACAGGAACAGACACTTCTCAAAAGAAGACACACATGCAGCCAACATAGAACTGGTAACCAACAGAATGGGAAAAAATGTTGCACTCTACCCATCTGACAAATGGCTAATAACCAGAATCTATCTACAAAGAACTTAAACAAATTTACAAGAAAAAAACAACCCCATCAAAAAGTGGGTGAAGAATAAGAACAAACACTTCTCAAAAGTAGACATTTTTGCAGCCAACAAACATACGAAAAAAAGCTCATCATCACTGGTCATTAAGAAATGCAAATCAAAACCACACAGATACCATCTCTCATGCCAGAGAGAATGGCAATCATTAAAAAATCTGAAGACAGATGCTGGAGAGGATGTGGAGAAATAGGAATGCTTTTACATTGTTGGTGGGTGTGTAAATTAGTTCAACCATTGTGGAAGACAATGTGGTGATTCCTCAAGGATCTAGAAATAGAAATACCATTTGACCCAGCAATCCCATTACTGAGTATATACTCAAAGAATTATAAAACATTCCATTATAAAGACACATGCATATGTATGTTTATTGTGGCACTGTTTACAATAGCAAAGACTTGGAACCGAGCCAAATGCCCCTCAATGATAGGCTGGATAAAGAAAATGTGGCACATATACACCATGGAATACTATGCAGCCATAAAAAAGGATGGGTTCATGTCCTTTGCAGGGATGTGGATGAAGCTGGAAAGCATCATTCTCAGCAAACTGACACAGGAATTGAAAACCAAACACTGCATGTTCTCACTCTTAGGCAGGTGTTGAACAACGAGAACACATGGACACAGGGAGAGAAACATAACACACTAGGGCCTCTCAGGGGAAGGGGAGCTGAGGGAGGGATAGCAGGAGGTAGGGGGATTGGGGAGGGATAACATTAGGAGAAATACCTAATGATGGAGGATGGATGCAGCAAACCACCATGGCACATGTATACTTATGTAACAAACCTGCACAATCTGCACATGTGCCCCAGAACTTAAAGTATAAATAAATAAATAAATAAATAAATAAATAAGATCACTGCTAATTAGAGAAATGCAAATCAAAATCACAATGAGATTCCATCTCACACTAATCAAAATGGCAATTATTAAAAAGTCAAGAAACAACAGATGCTGGTGAGGTAGCAGAGAAATAGCAATGCTTTTACACTGTTGCTGGGAGTGTAAATCAGTTCAACCACATTGTGGAAGACATGTGGAGATACCTCAAAGATCTAGAGGTAGAAATACCATTTGACCCAGCAATCCCATTACTGGGTATATGGTCAAAGGAATATAAATAATTCAGTTATAAAGATATATGCATGCATATGTTCACTGCAAAACTTCACAATAGCAAAGACATGGAATCACCCCAAATGCCCATCAACAATATACTGGATTTTAAAAATGTGGTACATATACACCATGCAATACAATGCAGCCATAAAAAAGAATGAGAGCATATCCTTTGTTGGGACATGGACAGAGTTAGAAGCCATCATCCTCGGAAAACTAATGCCAGAACAGAAAACCGAACACCACATATTCTCACTTATATGTGGGAGGTGAACTATGCAAACACACAGACACAGGGAAGGGAATAACACACGCTGGGGCCTGTAGGGGAAGTGAGAGGGAGAGCATCAGGATAAATAGCTAATGTATGCTAGGCTTAACACCTTGGTGATGGGTTGACAGGTGCAGCAAACCACCATGGCACATCTTTAGATAACAAACTTGCACATCCTGCACGTGTGCCTCAGAACTTAAAATAAGAAGACGGAAAAAAAGGTAAAATTATTTTTATCCTTATTGGATGCCAAATGATATGGCCTCTTTGAGACAAGGTACTACAGCATATGGTATAGAGACAATACAAATTGACATTTAAAAATACATTATTATGATATGAAAGAGTGATGAACGGAGTAGTAAAGAATTTCAGGAGCCAGGCATGGTGGCTCACATCTGTAATCCCAGCACTTTGGGAGGTTGAGGTGGGCAGATCACAAGCTCAGGAGATCAAAACCATCCTGGCCAACATGGTGAAACCTCGTCTCTATTAAAATATAAAAATTAGCCAGATGTGGTGGCACGTGCCTGTAGTCCCAGATATTCAGGAGGCTGAGGCAGGGGAATTGCTTGAACCCAGGAGGCAGAGGTTGCAGTGAGCCAAGATTGCGCCACTGCACTCCAGCCTGGTAACAGAGCAAGACTTCGTCTCAAAAAAAAAATCCTCACTTCAGAACAGTATCTGATTTTACTGGGCACACTAATTAACATACAAAACCAGGAAGAATAGGTATCATTAACAATGCATCATCATAAAGATGAGAATCAAATTACTTAATTATGAATTTTAAATCCATCTTTGAGGGCTTGGTACAAAATTTATATCTGAGCAATATACATCAGGAAATGTTTACAACCATACTTTGAAGTTCTGTTACATGCAACTATATCAGTGTTTAAAAATGAAATGCACACCCATGCCTAGAAAAATGACTGGAAAAAAATTCTAATGTGAATGTCTTTGGGGAGTGGAACATGGGCACTTTTTCCTTATTTCAACCTTCTACGTTTCCCAAATATTCTTAAATTTGAGTTACATTTTTATGAAACATTAACTTGTTATAAAATCATAAAAATATATCTTTTCTTCTTTCTAAATTGTAGAAAGGAACCTATTAATTGCCTGGTGCTTTTTAAATCCATAGCCAGCACTTAACTACTATAGGACACTGTCTTTCACTTGAACATAGTAACTCTGTGCCTATGGGTGATTTTCAGTGCCCATCCAGCCACAAATTACATGTCTGATAGTGGAAACAAACAAAACTGTTATTCTCCCTAGCTAGCCCCAATTCTATACTATTTAAGACATGACAAAAACATCAAGACTGATGAAACTCAAGGGTTATTGCTACAGACTTCTAAAAGAGCAGCAGACCTGACTACAGCTGGGCCAGTGATGAAGACTGAACCTTGGGCAGTGTGTAGCACGGTACCTTTGCCTTGGCATCCTCTGGGTCATCTCCTTTGGAAGCCAGCAGCATGAGTCGCAGGACCAGGGTTATGCTGAGAGGGAACTGTCCTCTCAGCTCAGGAACATTGGATTTTATGAGTTTTCCTATTTTGGGGAATGGAATATCAAAGAAATACACATCTCCCATCAGGTCTTGACCTCTTCTTCCAGCACGACCAGACATCTGGAAAGACAATCGAATTCCAATGTAAAACTTCCCCAAATACTTCTACTGCCACAGTGTAAGCGTGAGCCCTTTACCCTGCTTTGGAGCAAGGAAACTGTGCGTATGTCTAACCGTTAAGGAATGGACCCTAACATGCAACTACATAGTGCTTAGGAAACTTGCCATGACTGAGACAGATCTAAAAACTGGCACATCTGTCATCATCATGTACCTGTTTCATGCCATTAATTTCAGTAAGCATTTGTATAATATGTATCCAAGAAATAATCTGTTGAAGAAACAAAGAACAATGGCAAAACAGTGATGTCAAAATCACTTACAGAAGTGTGTTGAGTTACAAATCACAAAATAAAATATGTACACAAATAGACTAAACACGAGTGAAATAAAATTCAGAAATGCTACTTGTAAAAACAAGCAAGTTAAGAATAAACTCTTTGCAGAGGTTACATTAACTCTGATTTTATTAAGTGATTAGACTATGCTGAGGCCCTGGGAATATAAGAAATGTGCCCATACTGAAACAACCACAGAGTGGAAGATCCAGAACTCAAATCCTGGCATTTCAGTTCCCAAGTCCATCATCCCAAATATCAAAACCCTAGCTCCAGAGCCCAAAGTAGAAGACTCCCAAAAATGAGATAGAAGAATTCATTCAGCGTATGTATGGCAGCAGCAGTAGAAGTAAAAAAAGGGTTAGTAACATGGTAGGAAATTATATGAGGATGTTGGGTAGGAACAAGGCGTAAAAGGAGAATAAAAAGTTTTTAGAAATAAAGGGAGGGAAGCACGTTGAAAAAAACCCGAACATGGCTGAGATATCTAAATTTGACTCTGCTAGCAGAAATAGTTATCAAACGTCTCTGAGCAGGGAAGTCAGATGAAGATAAACCGCGCTATCTGCAGGACATGGTAGAATAAGGAGAATGGAGAGTCGGGGAAACTATACTAATAACACAAGGCCTGGAACGTCTGATGAAAGATGGTGAGTACAGAAATTGCAAGGCAAAAATCAAATATCACTATAGGAAAGTAATGACATGGGCTTGGTAATAGATTGTCAGAAGTAAAGATGAGTAGAGCATTAAAGATCATTCTAGAGTGCAAAATCTTGCACATAGCAAATGAGTGAGTAAATGTTTATCAAGCACCTTTAATGTCTATCTTTCTTACAAATCACTAATTCTTGCAAATGCTGTGGGAGAGTAATTATTGCCCATATTTTGGAGATAGAAAATGAGAACCAGGCAGTTTAGATATCTCATCCAATGTCACACATCTGACTAATCACACAATCCCAAATGCAGGTGCTTTCAACTATACCACAGCTATAACTGACAGCCAGGCATGGATGAATGCCCAGTGATGCTACTGTGAATTGGGGTACGTTTGTAAACTAAAGTTTCACATTTTTTACTATGCTATGGCCATATTTCAACAATACAATAAGCAAGTTTATGCATATTGCAATACCTGTCTGTAATTTAAAGCATCCAGATAGACTGAGTTTTGAGCAAAAACCACAGATCTACAAGGCATGTTGATACCTAAAGCAAGTGTTCCAGTAGCTGTCACCACCTTGAAAGAGAATAAAACAATTACTTCATAAAATAGCATTTCAATAGAATGCAAGTATTTCCTGTCATAAAGTGGCTGAAAAACTCTTTGAGCTTCAATTAAGCCACAATGGGAAAACTAGAGAAAGGAGACACATTGGTATTCTTGCTATTTCACAAACACCACAAGTACATTCCCAAATGTGCTGTTTGCTTTGCACAGAATATTCTTCCCCAAATATTCATTTGTCTGGCATCTTCAGCCATCTGCCCAAATGTCACAGAGGAATCTGTAGACCACCACGTCTAAAATAATCACCCCTGCCATCATTATCTGTCTCTGTCTTACATGATTTATCTTCATAGCATTAATGACTACCTCAGTAACATTATTTGTTGGTTCACTGCTCTTATACTATATGCCAAACAAGATTCATTATTGTATCCACAGCACCCATAAGCGTACCTGGCAACTGATACGAGTTCAGTAATTTTTTTTTTTTTTTTGAGACAGAATTTTGCTCTTGTCACCCAAGCTGGAGTGCAATGGTGCATAGCACCGCCTCAGCTCACTGCAACCTGCAACCTCTACCTTCCAGGTTCAGGCAATTCTCCTGCCTTAGCCTTCCAACTAGCTGGGATTATAGGCTTCCAACACTACGCTCAGCTAACTTTTGTGTCTTTAGTATAGATGGGGTTTCACCACGTTGGCTAGGTTGGTCTCAAACTCCCGACCTCAGGTGATCCACCTGCCTCGGCCTCCCAAAGTGCTGGGATTACACGCATGAACCACTGTGCCCAGCCCAGGAAATATTTTTAAATGAATAACTAGAAAGGAAATTTTTTATGATAGGGAAATAATACTTTTCCAAATCCACTTCTAGACAATTACCTATTTTGTCTACTAAAATTTGTTGAGATTATATCTATAGAAATAACATACCTCAGTAATTTTAAAAAGCTGTTTTCCTCACTAAATCTAAGTAAGGAAATAAATTAGTTACTTAGATAATCATCTTTTTATATAATGCTGGGTATTTCTAATCATCTTCTCTTCCTTTTTATATTGATTGTCATAGATGCCATGGTTAGTATTAAAGTTTAAGAATATGGAGTGATTTCTCTAATTATTCTGTAACTGAAATCTATATATCTGTCAAAATGCAACACACCATTTATTACCTGTTTCTCTAAAGTTTTTTATCAGAACAAAAATAGAAAATAATAATACATTTAGAAAATAACTAGAAAAAATACCTTTTTAAAAAATGTTCTCTATGGCAAAGCTATCACTACCATAGTACCTTTTCTGTAGTGATCTCATTATTCATTCATTATCCTATTAGTAATTGAGCAACTACTGTTTAGCAGATACTACTTTAAACACAGAATACGCTGATCAAAACAGGTGTGTCTCTCTTCTAACAATTCATAATCATGTAGAAAATATTGTATCTGGTTATCAGCCTTTAAAATAAATACACAATTTGTTATTAGTTAAGAGAAAAGCATAGCAAAGTTGTTAATGCTACATCTCGGGATTTTTTTTAAGGCAATAGAATTGTTAACTATGGTGTCAGATTTTCCTTAACATTTAAGTTAAGATTAAAAGATGTACCTAGAGTAGCAGAAACAAACTCAATCACTTCTCTTTCTCTCACTCTCTCTCATGAATGTTACATATGTCATACAAAATTTCATAAATTTTAAAAGTCAGCCTATTTGTGAATATTACTCAGGATCTAAATTTATGGGTAAACTATATAAAGCCCCTTCTTGAATTTATCCAGAAAATCCTCATGCACTCTCATGGGACACACTAAACAAAACATAACAAGGGTTTAGTCTGAAAGTTATTTAAGTTAGTTTTCCTTTTGTCAGTTATCACTGATATGAGAGAAAACATAGATATATTTCATTGTAGAAATATTTGGAAAAGTATCTGTTTAGGATTTATTTTTATTCTCATGAAAAAGAATCCCCTCTTCAATTAAATAAGACAGAGGACACGCAGTCATACCATGACTTACTTTTTAAAAAGACAATTAAATGAGAAAACAAGAAAAGTGGTGGTTGTATTCTTTACTTTTTCCATGAACATTCAACTTGAAATAGTCACAATTTCAATTTTTAGAATAAAAAAATTCACCTACCCTAAGAAATCCTTTCCTAAAGAGGATTTCAACTAATTGTTTTTCTTTGAAATTCATAGCACTGTGATGATATCCAATACCCCTTTCTGCCAAGGCTTTCAATTCTTCACCTTTTCTTGCAGATTTTACTCGATTAAATACCTTCTGCAAAGTCTAAAAGGAGCAAGACATTTAGGGATTATGATTTAACTTTAATTATAATAAAAATGTATAAATGAAAATGACGTGCATGCTATGAAATAACTTGACTAAAGGAGGCAACTGTTTGAAATTGACTCTATATAAATACAAAGAACACTTTATGGCAGCAACAGTAACTACAGGAAAAATCTTCCCAATTCTTTGGACAGACTATCTTAAACTCTCCTACTCCACTTCTGGGGTGGAAAATTTTGACAAAATAGCAGATAAAACACCCAGCAGTGGTGAGTGCATGACTCTTGCCTGAGGGATGTCACTTGGCTATTGGAGCCTTAGGAGCTTTCCCCAACAGAGAGACTTCTCCAAGAAGGCAGAGTAGGTTCCTTACCCTACGTGGTCTGGGAATGCGTACTTCCCATTGAAATTGAGCACAAATGGCATTAAAAATATCCAGGTCTTAAAGAGGAAATCCAGTTGTGTCCAGAGTTACATGGACAAAGATAAACACTGTTTATGAAGAGAGAGAGCCAAAAAAAGCTTCCAAATACAAAGGCTGGTTAGTAGTTACTTCATTCACTCATACAACAGAATCTCAAGGATTCATTAAAATCATGGTGTAAATTCATGGTTATAAAAATAAGACACCATGAAGCTTACAAAACGAGATACACAGCAGAATGAATATGTGTGTGTGTGCGCACACACACACAATATATGTAAGTGTGTATGTGTAGTCACAGGAAAATGAGGTAAAAGGTTTGTCTGGTGGACTTAAAGGAGTTCCTTAGGAAAAAAAAAAAAAGAAAAAGAAAGGTTGGTCTGGAAGGAGAGTGACTACTTGTGAATGATGACCTTGCTTTTATTATTAGTAATTTGTATTTTCAAATTAGTCTACCATAAGCACGAGTAATTTACATTTTAAAAGGTTTCTGCATACCAGTTTTAGATATTCCAGTGCCTCTTTGGTGTTTTAGCTACAATGTAAAAAGCTTCTGATTTTGAGAAATTCTGTGAATATTATTTGAAGTGTATTGGGCCACAGGCACCCAAATTTTCAAATGAAGCATATGAAATTGAAGTCTGGAATTCAGGCTGTGGAAACAATGTAATAGAAAGAAATAGGGAAAGGGCAGACATTTTCAGAGGTGAACTGTTAAGAAGCAAGAAATAATCTACAAATCCTGAATCACTTGCACAGGTATCCTCATCTGAGCGTGTGCTCCTAGGGAATTGGACCTAAGAGACTCTTTCACAAACGCTGGATAAGACACTTGTGTCCTTTTTAGATACGCTCTGCAGAGCCTTCAAGAGTGATATGCAGCTAGAGGAGATTTCTCTTTTGGTAGGGATTGTATTAATTATGTAACACATTATGCATATATCTTATTAAGCATTGTCTACAACTTCGAAGCTATGGCTGATGAATGAAATAGTCTGGAGAATGGTTTCATTGAAAGTGCTGACCTCAGTGTCCACTGCTTTTCGATCAGCATATGTGCAGTCCTGTGGGATTTCCAGGTTCTTCTCAAGACTCTTCAGTAGATTATCATGTTCAGCTTCATGGATTAGGCTTTGATCCACATTTCTGGTTTTTTTCTGGCTCTTTTCATCTCTGTTCATAAAAATAAAATTTTAATTAATAAAATTATAAGTAACAAATGAAGTAATTGATTAACTTGGCCACCATAGGTTGCCCGAGACTTTCCAAATCAGTCTTCTTGCCCTGTCTTCCACTGCTGTGTGTCTTTATTTTACTTTTTTCAAGATGGAGTCTTGCTCTGTCACCCAGGCTGGCATGCAATGGTGTGATCTTGGCTCACTGCAACATCTACCTCCTGGGTTCAAGTGATTCTCCTACCTCAGCCTCCCGAGTAGCTGGGATTACAGGTGCCTGCCACTACACCCAGCTAATTTTTGTATTTTTAGTTGAGTCGGAGTTCCACCATGTTGGCCAGGATGGTCTTGAACTCCTGACCTCGTGATCTGCCCACCTTGGCCTTCCAAAGTGCTGGGATTCCAGGCGTGAGTGACTGCACCCAGCCTGCTGTGCAACTTTAATAACTCAGTTTTCTTCCTCTTCAGGCTCTGGATGTTATGATCCATCATGAGAAAAATCTATCACTTATTTATCTTTCCTGTGGTGTTCCCTTTCCTTCTGGCTGTAGCTTTCTTGCCAAACCTAGTTTTCCCCAGATGACTCTCTTTGCTAAAGTGATGATCATTTTCTCTTCCTTGGTCTTCATGACCATAGACTTGGAGGTAAGGTAGGCATTCTTCTTGTTCCACATTGCCAATTCCAGTCATTCTCCTCCCCTCCTTGTAGTGGATGCTACAGCTGCTCTGAGTTTGGTTGTTAAGGCTCTCAGCTGCACCAGTCCCTGGAAAATTGCCCTCAACTGATAGGGGCCTCTTGGAAATGCCTGTGTGGTTGCAACCTCTCCTGGGGATGGGAAATAACCCACAGCCAATGTCTGACTGATATGAAGTATAAAAATCAGCCCCCTTGACTCAAGGTGGGGCAAGTCTTTGGTGCCCTAGCATTCCCAATAGGGTGAGAATTAGGATATATTCTAGCAGAAGCCGCATTCTTGCTTTTCTTCACCTTCCCTTTCTTCCTTCCTTCACTTTCTTATAGGTCCCTCATGAGCACACACCTTCAATAAATCCCTTCCACAGATAACCTCATCTCAGTGTTTGCTACTATGGAATCTGACCTAGGAGATACCTCCATAAACACTGGCTGAGACTCTTCCATCATCATGCTCTATTGTACATCCATCACCCCTCAATGTAACATGCACCCAAATCACTTATCCTTACTTTGATTTTTAAAATTTTCTTTTAACTGTGCACTGAAGACAATTCAAATATGAGATGAGCTCATTTGTATTTTATCAATACATGTTCTCACCTCCAACCAACATTACCCTTAACCCAGGGGAACAGGTTCTGACTATGGAAGAGCCTGGCCCTAAAATTTGCAGAGCATGCAGCAAAGCTCCACATAGTATTGCCTCACTGTAAGATTTTAGTCAAGGTCATAAACTGTCAAATAAATTCTATCCTCCTACCTTGACAAATATAACTCCAAGATAACCTGAAATTCAAGGATGAGAGTGAGCGCTGGGCATGCTGCCCCTTGCTTTATAGGAACAAATGCAGAAGGAAGAGGCCAGAGTGTGACTATCTAAAGGGCCCCCCCGCTCTGAGTGTGGTGATGAATAACACATTAAAACACACTTTATTGTCATAACTTGAATTTTTGGTCACGAATCCAACCTGAAATGTGGCTCCTGGTGCCCTCAGCAAAAATCGTTGAGGATCAGTTACTAAGAAGGATTATACCTCTTATGCTATCCCTGGGTTTTTCCCCTCCTACACTTCCAAAGAAACAGAAAAATAGTCAGGGGAAATATAAGCAGAAGGATCAGCAGAAAATTCTAATTTGCTCTAGAATTTGGGAAACCCAAATCAGAGATGCTCTAAAAGTTGTTTCAACTTGGAGAGAAATACCTATCATTCATTCAAATGTATTTATGGAATATTACCTGCCAGGTAATGTGCTAAGCACTGAAGACACAAAAAGAAAAATACATGGTTCCTGTTGTAAAGGAACTTAAAATTTCAGAAAAAGAAATACATACAACAACAACACATTACAATAATTGGTCTACAAGCTATTGAAAGTGTAGCAAGAACATGGGAGAAAGGGTAGAAAGTCTAACTGCAGGAATCAAGGAAAGATTTGGAGATGAGCTAGCAAAAGTTATCAGTGTGAGTTTTGGGACCAATCAAGAAGGCGGACACTCAAGGCAGATGGGTCAGTTCATGGAAAGAAAGAGGTAGAAAAGTAAGTCATGTGAGGAGAACCATGAATGTTGACTATTGATAGAGGAAAGTGCTAGGAAGCAAGACGGAAAGAGTTAAGGCAAATACCAAAGAATTTTGGCATAATGCTCAACAAGTTTAGACTCCATCAGCTAAGCAGTGGCGAAGGAAGAACACTGACCATGGGATAATTTAATCAATTCAAATGTGTGCAAGATCATTGGTTGACTAGATTGGAGAGTGGCGAACCTCAAGGCTCTGAAGTTAAAAAAAAAGGACCTCTGTGATTATCCAGGCAGGACATGATGAGCTTCTAAAGCAGGAAATGACTTAAGATGGAGAGGATCAGGGAGAGAGGATAAACATTTTGGCTTTAGAGTTGACAGAAGTAGACATTGAGAGCAAGGAAGAAAAGTCACATTAGCTAAGTCATTCCAAGCACCAAATCAGCATTTCCATCCATTCTCAAGTTCATTTTATGATCACTTATAAAACTGTGATGGTATGTATATTAGTGAGACTTTTTTTTCATGACCAAAGACAAAGTGTGTAGTCTATATTTCAAACTTCTGAGGACTAACTGACAGCCAGAGTTCATATATGTCAAAGATGTGCTTACTGTGCAGACCGATTAAGTCAGGGTATAAAACTACCTAGGCTGACAGGCTGTGGTCTTCCTCTCCCAAGACCTAAATGAGACTGATTGATGCAATTAAGGAATGCAAGGTCACTCATCTTTACCCCATTCTCTCATCTAAATGTACTAAATTTAGAAATAAGTCCAAGCAAGGCTGGGCGTGGTGGCTCACATTTGTAATCACAGCACTTTGGAAGGCCGAGGCGGGTGAATAAAATCACAAGGTCAGGAGTTCAACACCAGCCTGGATAAGATGGTGAAACCCCATCTCTACTAAAAATAAAAAATTAGCTGGGTGCAGTGGCGGGCACCTGTAAGTGCAGCTACACAGGAGGCTGAGGCAGAAGAATCACTTGAACCTGGGAGTCAGAGGTTGCGGTGAGCCAAGTTTGTGCCACTGCACTCTAGCCTGGGCAACAGAGCAAGACTATTTCATAAAAGAAGGGAAAGAAAGAAAGAGAGAAAGAAAGAGAGAGAGAGAGAAAGAGAGTGAGAGAGAGAAAGAGAAAAGAAAGAAAAAGAAAGAGAGAAAGAAAGAAAGGAAGAAAGAAGAAAGAAAGAAAGAAAGAAAGAAAGAAAGAAAGAGAGAGAGAGAGAGAGAGAGAGGGAGGGAGGGAGGGAAGGAAGGAAGGAAGGAAGGAAGGAAGGAAGGAAGGAAGGAAGGAAGGAAGGAAGCGAGGGAGGGAGGGAGGGAAGGAGGGAGGAAGGGAGGGAGGGAGAGAAAGAAGAAAGAAAGAGAAAGAAAGATTCCAAGCAATAACTAGAACTTTATAGAACCTATTCAATGTTTGTTTCCTGCTGGAACTTAGGGAGTATTTTAACCCTTTACTTATCAATTTGTTTAGTTAACTACTTACATGATCTTTTGTTTCTCTATGGATTTTTTAACTTTTCGAAGTCTGTTAGCCATGACATGGGCTTCTTTATCAGCTTTGGGAGGCCTTTTCTTCTCTTGCTTTTCCTCCAGGAAAGCGCTCACACTTTTAGCTGTGTTTTCTACAGCTCCTAACTTGAATCTGGAAATTTAAAAAAAATGCATCTTGAAACTAACATGATAAATACAATTCAAAAACTCATATTTCCATCTACTGCTATCATCCTGACGTTTGCCTGTTGGGTTTTTAATACCCACCTTTAAAATGTTACCCAGAATGTCCACACCAGGTTTTCTGAATCAGCAGACTCCTTATTAACCTCATAGTAAATAATGTTGCCTGTCCTCCCTCCCCTACCCCCACAACACAGACATTACTCCTGGGACAATGCAATGAGAGCTCATGGAAATGTTTCCTCTAAGAGTAGTCAAATATACCATAAGCAAGGAACAGAGAACAACATTTTTATAGAGAAGAAAGATAGCTATCCCCATCACCACCCTTCTGCAAAAATGAAAAAAAAAAAAGATTAATAAACAAAAAATTGTTCTTTTGGTAGAGGGTAAGAACCTATGATTTTTTCCAAAAGAATAAACATATGTGTTGCTGAACTTTGCAATGCAGAAATGTCTTGAGGTCTGGGCTTTATACCATTGAAATATAAATACCTAGGAATGCAGTGACCCATACTTCCTGGTACCTTGGGGCTTCACCCAGCAGCCCGGTCTAGCTTGTACTCAGCTGGCTTTCTCAGAGCTGAGCGTTTAGCTACAAATTGCTACAGACATTTATAGCCAAATGGCTACAGATCCAATTCTCGTGATATATGAAGAGTAAACTGTTTCTAGAGGAGTAAAGCAAACATTTCCTATGTTTATTTCACATGAATTTCCTGTGTCAGGAAGCTAGGGCTTTTTACCTGAGCACTGAGAAGCATAGGGAGGTCTTACTTCCCCACGGCACCTCGGTGGCAAAATGCTGTGGCTGCAAGTAGCCAGTGGAGATTGTCACTATATTAACCAAAGCTTATTATAGCAAGTTAAAGGTTTGGTTTGTACAATAAAGGTTTTTAAATCTATGTTGTGAAGCAAAAGGCCTTTCTAAAGTCTTTATAGAGCTATCATTAAAAGGAAATGTGTTTAGCTAGTGAGCAAGTAAATAAACTGGGACACTGCTGAAGTAAGAATTTTAAAAGTGACAGTCTATGCCACATGGCAAGAAATTTCAGATAGTAGACAATAAAATAATAATAACAGAAAACATTTATATTATACACAGTTGGCCAGGCATGGTGGCTCACACCTATAATCCCAGCACTGTGGGAGGTCTAGGCGAGCAGATGACCTGAAGTCAGGAATTGGAGACCAGCCTGGCCAACATGGTGAAACAGAAGACAAAAATTAGCCGGGTGTGGTGGTCCATGCCTGTAATCCCAGCTCTGGAGGCTGAGGCAGGAGAATTGCTTGAACCCAGGAGGTAGAGGTTGCAGTGAGCCGAGATAGTGCCCCTGCACTCCAGCCTGGGAGACGGAGTGAAACTCCGTCCCCACTTGGAATAAAAAGAAAAATTATACACAGTTGTCAGGCATATTCTCAGTGACTTCAGTATATTAACTCATTTAGTACTCACAATGACCCTATGAAGAAAGCGCTATTAATATCTCTAGTATTATCCTTATTTTCCAGATGAAAAAATTGAGACATAAAAAGATTAAGTGACCTGCTCAAGAGCCCACAGCTTATATGTGGCAGAGTCTGGCCTGCAAGCCTCTGTTCTCAACTCCCCTTTTTAACTGACATATGTTGAGTCTCTTTTTACATTAATGCAAGTTACTGGGGCCTAGGAATATATTACTTTTTAAAATGGTGTCACTTATCACAGTACTTCATTTTTTCAAAAACTCTTGGAAATAATGTTCAGAGATTACTTGAAAATAATGTTGCCTCTTAAATCTCTCCAATAACCTACTTATTATGTCAACCAAAACAAAATCAAAGAAAAAATATCTCCAAGTATGTTGACTACATTTGGAATTCGAAATGAGAATTATAACCCAAGATGCACAGCTATGGCAAACCACATATGTATCTGAAGGGATATCTGTAATCCCAGCCCGGAAGGCTGAAGCAGGAGAACTGCTTGAGCCTTCTGCACCATATAAAACATATTACATATATGTGCATGCTTGTCTATTGATTTGTCTTATATCAATATAATTCTCAGGTCCAAGTAAAAAATCCCAAGGTGGTAGACATAAAATTTTGCCTCCCCTATATTTGTATGAAAGTATGAATAATAAACAGCTATTTTTCAGTGTCTGTTTTGCAGTGAGGCTTTTAGAACTACCCCAGAGGTACAGGAGTATTTGAGGAGGATAAAATGAAGCTCGTATTGGCAAAAGGAGAGGTTCATATAAGCTGCTTAGAAACACAGTTTATTGGTTTTAGAGACGCAAAACTAGAGCTGGCATCCATTTATCGGTGGAGACGCCATTGCTGGGTGTTCTTTCAAGGGCATCTTATCTGAATTGCTGCAGTCCTATAGAAAGAATTGCCTGTGGGATGATTTTAGAAAGTCCTTGAGCCGGGACTTTATCTCAGCCATGCAAGCCTGAAAAGTCCGGCTTCAGGCTCTCAGCTCTAGTCTGTTTGGATCTGACAAAAAGTGATCATCCTGGTATCTGCAACTTTCACAAGAACCAATGTGACCTAGAGATATGTACCTTATTAATAACATTTTTGTAGCAATGAGCTAAGTGCTTTCGTAACTTATGTTTATTTAATTCTCACTCCAGTCCTGTGTATTATTATTTTGACCATCTCATTTTGCAAATAAGGAAATTAAGGCTCAAAGTCATTAAGTACCTATCCAGAAATAACACAGCTCATGGGGGCAGAGGTGGGATCCAAGCTTGGGCCTGGCCATGAGGTGTTTGCTCTAAGCACACACTGCTATTGGCATCAAACACTGAATATGCTCCCTGCATTTTTTTTTCCATATACTAGACTACAGAAGACTGAAGGGTACACTACTATTTGAGAAACTCCTAGCGGTAAAACTTGAGCCCAGACAAATCCTCAGCTCTCTTGATGATCTGGGGCTACTTAGCACTAAATCAAATTGGGTAAGGCCAAGGCTGTTCCCAGTTTATTTTGTAGAGAATCCAAGAGTCCTATAAACATGCCAAGCTTCGATCCTTCAAGTAGAATTAAACTTTTGATGTTTTTGTGAAATATTTTAGTTTTAAAATATTTTAAGTATGTGTCAGACTTTGGTACATGCTACTCCCAAAATACGCCACGCTGGCATATTCACTATTTTGAGTTGAAAGCACGTGGAAAAACAGCAGGGTCAAGATCATGCTGATCTTTCTTTTTCTTAAAAGTAGCAGATTAAATGTCCACGTAAAATGTTTTTTATACCAGAAGGAGAGTAACATTCCTATCTTCAAAGATGGGAAGTTGAAGCCAAGGAAAATCTATACTAACAAACCTTGTTAAACTAACTTTTACCTTCCTAGTCACATCTTCACCCAAATTACCCTAGCTCAAGCCCCTTTACCTTGTGATGTTTTCACAATTTACTACTCTGTCCAATTCACCATGCAAGTGATCAACTCTAACTCCATCTTTGTGTCTTCTTCTCCTTATGGAGCCTTCTGAGCCATATAAAACATATTACATGTATGTGCATGCTTTTCCATTGATTTGTCTTATATCAATTTAATTCTCAGGGCCAAAAAAAAATCCTAAGATGGCAGAGGTAAAATTTTCCCTCCCCTATATGTGCACATAAGTGTGAATAATAAACAGCTATTTTTCAGTTTCTGTTTTACAAACAGCTATATTACAGAAATATCCCAGAGGTACACAGAACTATTTTTGTTTCTAATTACAATCTATAGCCACACTTGAAAGTGAAGCAGGTGAGCTTTGTAAATCCTGGGCAGTTCAGAAATTTATTTTCCTTATCCCAACAACAAAGATAAAAGGAGTAATGTTATTGCCATTCCCCAAATTTCCAAACACAGTCTTACGTTCACCCATCATCATTATTTTAGGAATATATCACCAGTGATTCATTCTTAGCAAGACTCTGGATTATTTACCTCAGCGTTCATGACTTACATGTAGTTTGAAATTATCCAAATTTAATAGTGTTGTGCTCTAGTCCCAAACTATGTTAGCAAGTTTAATCCAGTATCTAATATGTTGTCCATTTAATAAATTATACTTTAATGTCACGTTATTGAAACTGCACTATTTTGTTCAATTTTAAGCTATATTATACTACAATATATAAAATTTAGCAAGATGTCAGTGTATCTGGATCACAGTTCTCATTACGATAAGTTAAATATAATAAAATAAACTTTCAATAAGTAGTATATTGTGAGGATAGTTTAATTGTATGTGGGATACTTGCATGCATTGAATGTGTGCATTGAACAGGTGCATTGAATGTGTGGTTCAATGGGTTTTCCAAAGAACATAGGTATATACTGAAAATTAACAAGATTAAATAAAAACTAATAGTTTACAGTAGAAAGAATATAAAAGATAGAGTAGCAAACTAAATAAAGAAGATAATTCATGATAGCACAAATACGAATACAAGAATTGAACTAGAAACTTGTATTTTTAAAAAAACATACACATTCAAATAACCAATGGGCCCCAGAAATAGTAATGAATAAATATTGTACTAGGATAGGAAAGTTTGTATAAGTCCCTCACTTCAAAGCAGCGGTCCTCAACCTTTTTGGCACGAGGGACTGATTTCATGGAACACAGTTTGGCGGTGGGTGGCAGGGAAGAGGGGTGCACAAGAATAGGGGGAATGGTTTGGGGATGAAACTGCTCCACCTCAAATCACCAGGCATTCGTTAGACTCTCATAAGGAGCATGCAACCTAGACCCCTCCCATGTGCAGTTCACAATAGGGCTTGTCAACTATGAGAATCTAACCCCACCACTGACTTGACAGGAGGCAGGGCTCAAGCAGTAATGCTGGCTGACCCACCACTCACCTCCTGCTCTGTGGCCCAGTTCCTAACAGGCCATGGGCCGGTACTGCTCTGTGGCCTGGAGGCTGGGGACCCTTGCCTTAAAGGAATGAGTCTAATACAATTACAAGTAAAACCAAATTAAATTAAATAACTTACAAAAAAAATAGTGCAGGCAACTTCTCCATTTTCCTTAGTTTTTCAACTAGAAGTGGAAACATTGTTATCATGTTTTCTGGACTAAAATCTGCTTTAGGACTAAGAGTCTTAAGTACCATTCTGGCCTGTAGCAATGAATATAAAACAATTTTAAGCTCTGCATAAGAAAGAAAGAAATTATTACTTTTTGCTAAAATGTTTTCATAGCCGTCTAATGTATGTTTTTTTTTAATAGTCCTATGAAAGCACATTATAAAACTATGCAAAGAACCATCAAAGAAACAAACAAATCAATACACTAGAAAACAAAAATTTGGCAGTAATGTACACACACATGTGCAATTTAGCCTGCAATTTTTCAGGCAATACAAATCAGGAATAGAAACATTTTTCAGCAAATGATGCTGGTTTCACTATAACAGGAGAGCAAGTGTGAATCACTTTCTACATTATGTAGAAAAATCACATCCAAATACATCTCCAAGATTTGTAACTAACAAATTAGCTAGAAGAAAATGTAACTCAGTCATATTATGTTTCTGAATGGGAAGAGATTAAGGTATAATGGCAAAAAATATCCAATGAGAAAGTCTAATATATGTCATTTCTCAATCTGTGCCAATAAATCAAATTTCAAAATATGAAGACTATCAGCTTATTAAAACAAACATGCATAACTTATATAATTCCAGGTGAAGTTTTAATACACAAATAGTTCCTAAGACTTCAAATAACAATATGAAAAAAATAATAAACTCCAAGTCAATAAAGAAAGAGGAGTAAAACACTCTTCTCAGAGGCTGTTATTGTGAGTTCAGTCTTTCTGCTGACAAGATATCAACAATATAATCTCTATGGAGAGTGAACCTTTTGCTCTTATCTGTTAAACCATTTAGAAGCAACTAGTAGCCTCTGGCGCATGGTTCAGAAGACACTGAGGATAAGACAAAGACCAATTTACTTTCTCTCTTTTTAGTCTATCTGTTTCAAAATCACTAGACTTTGTGTTCAACTTAAAATTCTAAAATAAAAATTGAGAATTAAAAAAATCAGAAAATGATATTAACGGAATGGTATACCTTAAGAAAACAATAAAAATATAGTTTGGCCAAAAAATGTGTGAAAGTTACCTCCTCTATGTTGCCATTTTTAATCCAACTTGTTAATTCTGTCTTTAGACTCTCTTCATATTTTCTAGCATCCATCTTTTTAATGACTAATTTATTGTTAAAATGAATAAAGTTTTCTGGACACAGTTCCTTAAAAACAAATATTACAAAATTAAGTACAATCATGCAAGAAAATTCAAAGGTATTTCTTGATTATATGACTCGTTAGCAGCATTACAGGTTTCTCGAGTGGACGGATGGTTAAACTTTTTTTATCTCTGCATGGCTTCTAAAGCATAACAGCACTAGGATAATGAACTTTTCAAAAGAAAGAATACAAAGAAAAAGCAGAAGATGAAAACAAACAGCAACTGGGACTTGGAAGGGAAATAAGCGTAATAATAAACAGAAAATATGAATCCAAGGTATAAGAAGACGGAAATATAATAGTGTTCCAGAAGTTGAAAAGATTTCAAAAAAAAAAAAAAAAGAAGCAATATTTTCAGGAATCAAAATAAAATACAAATTAAAACTCATTAAAAAAACAAAGAGAAAATGTTAGAAATATGAGAAGAGGCAATCTTATTTTAGGAAGAGTCAACTAATAATTTTAAAAGATCAAATGCAAGTGAAAAGAAAGGGTGAGAGTTTGTCTTTCTGAACAGCAATGTTATCATCGTCTATAGTTGTGTCAATTACATCATTATTATTTACCTGGGCCCGGGGCCAACTTTCCCAAATTTGAAACATGGTGTCATATAGCTGGATGCTTTCTCGAGGTGAAAGGGAAAGATCAGGAGGGAATCCATACCTTTCAATCTGTTTAAAATAAAGTTAAAATGTTTACTGTTTATTTTATTTTATGTCTTATCCTTTGCCTCTTAGTCACTATCATAACCCAAAGACACTGACAGGCATTAAAATAAAATGTTCAAATGCTGATAGGTGTTAAACGACAACATTTATACTAGCTACAAGTGTCTTTGAATCACCAACGTGGAAAAAAAGCCAAAATCCCACCAAATAATTTTAATATTATTTCCTCAGATCTTTTCATTGTGCTAATTTTCTATGAACTGTCTTCATGATCGAAATCAGAGCACTGGGAAACTGAAAGATGTGTGGACTCAGTTTAGACAAGACATAACCTCTACTTTACAGCTAACATCAAAAGTGATGTAATTAAGAATGTGATTCTTTCTTTTACGTATACCAAGCCAGGCTAAAAAAAAGAAAGTATTATTTGCTTGAGTTACAAGATAAGAACTGGGTCAACTTCAAGATAAAGTTCTCAAACCACCTTCAAGACTCCTAGAAACTTCTCCCAAAGGTCACTGGAGAGTCTGCTTTAAGTCTTCAGAATAAAGTATGGCATTCATTTTTTCCACAAGTGTTTTTAAGTGGAAATAAAAAATTCCTGTTCTCAAAAAGGTTCATTGTAGTATTTCCTACTGGTTCCAATCACTACTGCTAAAAATCATTTGCATGCAAAAACGTACTCTCTGAGATGTTAATAGGAATGTAATACGGACCGAATGTTTGTCTGCTCCCAAAACTTGCATGTTGAAACCAAATCCCCAATGGGATGGTATCTGGAGGCAAATCCTTTGAGAGATGATTAGGTCATGAAGAAAGAGCTCTCATGAATGGGATTAATGCTGTTATAAAAGAGACCGCAAGATCTCCCCTGTCCCTCCTGCCATGTGAGGGCACAGGAAGGAGTCAGCTATCTATGATCCAGAAAGCAGGCCTTCACAGACAGCAAACCTCCCAGTGCCTTGACCTTGGACTTCCCTCCAGAATTCTGAAAAATCAATATTTGTTTCTAAAGCCTCCCAATTTGTGATATTTTTGTTATAGAAGCCTGTTGAGTGTGCTAAGACAGTATGCTTCAAAAAAGAAAAGATCAGGAGAAACGATATATATTGCATCTAATAGGATTCTTTGAGATTTCTCACTGGAAACAAATCTCAAAGGAGTAAATACAGTATGCAAATCTATCTAAAATAACTGGACAGTACTGCACTTGTTTTAGTAAATAGCTATTAAAAGGTTTTAAAATTCGGGTTTCAAAATTCAGGACTAAAAAAGCCACTCCAAACACAACACAGTTGAAGAAACATGGAGATGACATTTGGTAGAATGGAAAGTGCGCAAGAGTTTGAATCAGAAGATCTGGTTCCAATCGCACCTGTAAACGCTAGTTCTTCATCCATAAGATAGGAATGAAAATACAATATTTACGCTTTCACCTTAAAGACTGCAGTGAGAGCAAACAAAATTAATGTATCACTATATGTTCTTCGAACCTTTAACACTGTAGAATGTAAAACAATTCCTGGAATCATCATTTAACATCTCAGTTGGAGCACTGAAAGATAGTTAAATGGTAAGGACTGCATTGTGCCAACGTACTACATAGAACAAAACACATATTATCTTGCAATGCTGGCGTCTTGCTCTCTTATTAGGTATAACTTATTCCACCTAACTAAAATAAAAATATACAATAAGTCCAAGATCTATTATAATTTTAAAATATAAATCTTCTGTTTTTGGGAGTGCTTATGGTTTCTTAAGTCTCTTAGTCTTTTAGAGAGGCCCAAATTTCCTCATTTCTAAAATGAAGGATAACTCTGCCTGTGACATAGATTTTTCAGGAGAATTACATTAGATAACATATGTAACAGACCTAGTAAAATGCCTGGCATATGATAATGCCACAGCCATCAATATGATTGATTAATTATCCCTTAATAGGTCTTAATTTTTGAAGTTAGTTTACCAGCCCTAAGCCTAAATTCCAAGGATTCAATTCAGTGGTTCTCCACTACATAGTGACTAGTGAACTTGCATACGTTGAGCCAGCCTAGGCAGAGAAGGAAGAGAAATAAAAGGTCATAGATGGCCGGGTGCAGTGGCTCACACCTGTAATCCCAGCACTTTGGGAGGCTGAGGTGGGTGGATCACAAGGTCAGAAGTTCAAGAACATCCTGGCCAAGATGGTGAAACCCCATCTCTACTAAAAATACAAAAATTAGTAATGGGCGTAGTGGTAGTACCTGTAATCACAGCCACTTGGGAGGCTGAGGCAGAGAATTGCTTGACCCCAGGAGACCGAGGTTGCAGTGAGCTGTGATTGTGCCACTGCACTCCAGCCTGGGCAACAGAGCAAGACTCTATCTCAAAAAAAAAAGGTAATAGATTTGTACCATTCTTTGTTTATAAACACCATATTATACCACGATGCTGTTTTTGTAAATATTGTCCCTATGTCATAGGTGATGGTAAGCACTGATCCATGCTTAGCAGAAAGAGACAGTCATTCTTTCAAGGACCTCCTAGGACTGATAACTCTCCAGGAGTCAGCAGCTGTTGCTGTGTGGCATGAAAATTGGGGCAAAGGCCAAAGGACACTGCTCTTAGCCAGAAACCAGCCATATATGGATCAAAGGTGATTCCTCACCATGGTTGGATTCAGACCAGCTCACTCACCCTGCCCCACTCCTGAAATCATTTTTACACTACAACTGTACAGGAAAGGACCCAGGTGGATGGCCCTTCTTATGTTGCCACAGTTTATGTTTTTCCTTGCCACTCCCTTTTTTCATATTAATCTGAAATGTACTACATAAGACCAGGAATTATTTATTCAGCTGAAAGGCCTCCTTGGTTTTTATCACTGCTACTTTAGGATATGTCCGACATAAACACATGCTATACACAAAGCTGTCAAAATGGACTCACTAATACCTAAGCCTTTGTGTTCATCCTGCACTCCTGCCACAAAAGTCTAGACATCTTAAGAAGACTCATACAACCGCATGACCTTTGCAGAAGTCATCTGGGGTCAGAGCACACTGTAGCGGTCCTACTGCCTTCCAGTTACTCCATTAATAGCTACTGAACATAGAGGAAAGGCACTTGGACCAAAATGACAATTTCAGCGGGTACTCCAATCCACTACACTCACTGCTGTTTAAAGATAACCTGCCTTGAACCATCCTACACAGAATAATTTTTAATGCTATGCTATTTTTTAAATGCCACATAATGATGAAAATGTCAGATAACTCCTGGATATCAGAAAGGAAAGAAGGGAGGGAAGGACGGAAGGAAGGAGGGAAAGAGGGAAGGAGGGAAGGAAGGAAGGAAGGAGGGAAGGAAGGAAGGAGGGAAGGAGGGAAGAAGGGAAGGAAGGGAGGGAGGAGAGAGGGAAGGAAAGAAGGAAGGAAGGAAGGGAGGGAAGGAGGGAGGGAGGCAGGGAGAGAGGGAGGGGGAGGGAAAGAAAAAAGAGAGAATGAGGTGCCTTTTATTACTATATGTGGGTTATCATCCATATTCTAGGTTTCGGATATGTGTTAGGTCGCAGGAATTTTGTTCATATTTTAAGTTTATTTAGAATTTGGATTGGGTCATTGTCACACAAGAGAGAAGTTTCCATAACAAAATCCTATTAGAAAACTACTACCGACGCCAGCCTGTTTGAGGCTGCATCCTGGCACCACCATTTACTTAATGATGCAACACTGAGTCAGTTAAGTTCTCTGTGCCTCACCTTTCTCATTGTAAAGTGGGAATAATGTTAAGACATCTATCATAAGATTGCTGTAGTGGCTAAAGAGGTTTAAAAATGTAGAATTTTTAGAACACAGAGTAAGTGCTCAATTTAAGTTGGCTGTTCTTATTTAACATACACTTAGTAAGTACCTTTTATATACATAGCAGTTTTTTGGGAATTGACAGATATAACATTTGTCTTCAAAAAGTCATTCTAGCCAGTAAGGAATATATGCATGTAAACGACTTAAGCTGTAAGCTCATCAGGACTGGTGTTGTGTTAGATACACAGACAAGGTATTATGGAGAGAAGAAAGGTTACATCTAGCTAAGACAGTCAGAGAAGAATTCTGAAAAGGTTTCACCTTAGGAGAATTATGGAAGATGGACAGGATCTGAACAGCTGGTATTTGGCATCTGGGTTGAAATATTCCAAGAGCAACGTACAGCATGAGGGCTGCCAGGTAAGATACCCCAGTGGATGAATGACAGGACACTGGGATCAGGTCATAGAAGACCTTGGCTGTCAAGCTCAGGAGCTATGCATTTAGCTTTTTCCAAAAGAAGGCCAGTAAAGACTTGGAAAGATCAAAATGATCTTTAAGGAAAGTTGAGAGCTATGTTTCATTATATTCATGTCAAATTATGTTTATTTTTGTGCTCTAAACATTTTACATATTTTATCTCCTTTAATCATCACAGCACTGTTATGATGGATGGTCTATTATGTTTCACATGACAGAATGTAGAATATATTTAAATTTTCAGGTTTTAGCAGAAAGACAAAGCTATTAACTAATCATCACTTTGAAAGCCACAGGAAGCTTATTTAAATGAGTCATTTATGAGAATAGGATAAGAGAGGAAGAGAAATAGGATAAGATAGGAAGAGATACATGCAAGAAAAATTAAGAAATCTTTCCCCACTCACACCCCAGTGTACCAGCTGACATCTATTTTTTTTTTTTTTTTTTTTTTTTTTTTGAGATGGGGTCTCATTCTGTCGCCCCAGCTGGAGGGCAGTGGCTCTATCTCGGCTCACTGCAACCTCTACCTCCCAGTTTTAAGCGATTCTCCCGAGTAGCTGGGAATACAGGTGCCCACCACCATGCCCAGCTAATTTTTTTGTATTTTTAGTAGAGATGGGGTTTCATCATACTAGCCAGGCTGGCCTCAAACTCCTCGCCTGTGATCTGCCTGTCCTGGCCTCCCAAAGTGCTGGGATTACAGGCATGAGCCACTGCACCCAGACCCCCAGCTGAAATCTTCTTAAGGTTCCCACCTTACTGGCTTACCACCCAAAAGTCATGTCATGATTGCTATGTTAGGGAGAATATCATATGTAGTAGGGATTGTCCACAAAAAACTGTACGGCTGCACTGAGGGAAGAACTAGTGTCAGAGGCAGACAGACAGACATGGGTGTTGAGAAGAAGAGAAACTGGCAAAGATAACCTCCAAGGATAAATAAAACTAGCAAACACTTCAGGTTAAATCTGTAGCAGTTTTTAATCATTATTCAGACACTATTGAGGAGCCAATTAAAATTAGAAACAATGTTCTTGTTATTTTTTAAATCAAGGTTAAAGTATCAGTTTCTGTCATTCTGTAGTTCTATCATTCTGATAAGTATCAATTAGGCAGCTTTTGCTTATAATATAGACAAATATTTTAAATGACTCAGAACAAATATGGCTAAAATATTACTTACATGGTCTGTTGTTAAAGCAGCACATGGGTGGAAATGATCAAAATGAATGTCATCGTCTTTTATTGAACATACATGCTTCTCTAGATCATTATATCTCTCTCCATAGAGCACTAAAAATGAAGAGCAAGAATTTCCACATCAATGGAAATATAACAAATGAAATACATTTAAAGTAAAAGGGATAAAGGTAGATTTAAAAATAAAAATAAAAAGTAAAAGGCAAACGTTATATAAATATATCAAACCTACCAAGTCTAACTTTATATGATTGTTTTACTTGCAAGTGGTCTTTGGGAAAACCGGGATGACGACCCACATGTCTCTTAGAAGTAACAGTATTTTCAATTACTTTGTCTTCCTCTTTCCAGTACCGTTTTACCGATTGTAGCCACCTTAAAAAATACAGATGTACATATTATTTAGCAGAACATGGAACTACTTCCTGTGAAATTAAGTGGTTTAAGTAAAGAAAATTTCGTTTTCCTTATAAATTGTATTTAGGGGAATAGACTCAGAAGCCAGACTACCTGAACTTAAATCCCAACCTTCTGACTAATTGCTGTGTCTCTTGATTGAATAACTTCATTTTTCTGTTCCTAGTTTTTCACATTTCAAAATGAAGATATGGTAGTGATATTGTAAGTGTGACTATTTAATAGTAGTCATGGAAGTAAGCATAAATCATAAGGGTTGCCAGGCATTTAAAATAAATTAATACATGTAAAATACTTAGTACTAGGCATGCAGGAGGTATTATAGGATCATTATTAGTTAATAAATATTATTATAGGATCATTATTAGTAAATAAATATTATTATAAAGTTTAAAAAAAAGGTTTTTAGTAGGCAAAAATCAGGCCCAAAGACAACATGATATGGGGCTTTCAACTAATAAGGATTTTCTATCTTTCTAAACATCTCTACAAACTAGGAAAATGGATCACAGGACCCATGTCTGAGAGTGCTTTTATAGCATTTTACTTTTATTTCTTGGTGAAGGACAAAAAAAGGAACATAAATATATCTTTTTTGATGAAACATTTTTGGGATGGGGGAAATTTGCTACTCAGTTGCAGATCTCAGTGGGAAAGTCCTTGATTTTCCTCAGCAAGGGCCAGGAGGTGTAGAGAGGTGCAGTTTCTTGAAGATCCAGAAATAAACTATTAAATTCACCAGAAAACTATGAAGCTCTTCAAAACCCAGAGAGAAAGTATGAAATTCAAAAATTAAAACAGATAAACACTCTGTCCAGTCGGAACGTGATGCCTACTCGGTGAGATGTTCAGGGTTACTTATGGTAGCTGAAAGGGCCAAAAAGGGACATCGGATCATGACAAGGAGATGCTCCCAGATTTCCGCGCCAATTTCTCCACCAAGACAATGAACCTATTAAAGAAAAAAAAAAATTCTCAACTGAAAAGCTGATTTCAAAATAGCAACTGAAATTGTCATGCATGCCTTCCCATTGCCTTTAAGTGACCAAGTTTAAAGACATAGTAAAGAAATATTAAAAATCCCCACAACCAATTCACCAACAATTCTGCTTTACTTTACTTTCAAAAATGTGTTTCAAATCAATGGGTTTCTCTTCATCTACCACCAACCCAGCTAGTGTCACACCTCAGCAGAGCTACTTCAGCTACTATACTAGTGTCCCTATTCGCCCTTAAGCTCTTCACATCACAGCCAAAAGAAAAATTATATCATGTCACCAAATAAATTGCTTTACTATCTTCCCTTTGCATGTGGAATAAATTTTAAACTCCTTCATGGGATGTTTAATGGCTAGCATCATCTGGCCGCTGCTGTCTCTCTAACTTTATCTCAAACCACTATCTGCACCTTTACTGTGGTCCAGAAAGAATTACCTTTTCTTTGTTCCTTGAGCACACCCTTCCTACCTAAGAGCTTTCCCATATATTGTTCCCTCTGCTTACAATACTCTTACCCTCTCTTATTCAAACTGTAAGTTTCAGCTCAATGACACTCCATAAAAAAGACTTTTCTGGGTCAGGTGTGGTGGCTCATTCCTGTAATCCCAGCACTTTGAGAGGCCGAGTCAGATGATTCATGAGGGCAGGAAATTGAGACCATCCTGGCCAACATGGTGAAGCCCTGTCTCTACTAAAATTACAAAAAAAAATAGCCAGGTGTGATGGCATGCACCTGTAGTCCCAGGTACCTGGGAGGCAGAGGCAGGAGAATTGGTTGAACCTGGGAGGCGGAGGTTGCAGTGAGCTGAGATCGTGCCACTGTGCTCCAGCCTGGGCAACAGAGCAAGAATCCATCTCAAAAAAAAAAAGACTTTCTGACCACGTCTTCCACAGTTGCCTCCTCCTGCCACCTACCATGACTGCAGTCTCACCAACCTGCTCTCTCCCTTCACAGTTTGCACCAACGTGGGCTGGCACCAACATCTGTGAGCTCACTTGTTTATTTCCTCTTTCTTGAGTAAACTGCTGTCAGCTCCAGTGTCTAATAGAGAAGGTATTAAGTAAACTGTAACCTTAGACCTGAAGATTCTATTCCTAGCCACTAACACACAGCCTTACACCGAGGAAGCACTCCTTCAATATCTGCCGAGTAAATGAATGGATGAGCAAATCAAACCAGATTCAGAAAAGAGTCTCAAATGTGGTCTTCATTAAACAGATTAAATTATGATTCCTGGCAATCAACTGAAAAAGACTTACTATCAGAGTCAAATTATATATCTATGTGGAATATGCATCCCCACTGCCCATATGGGCTTGTCCTGGTCATATAAAATACCACTCCAACAAATATTGCTTTGCACTAGATAGCACTTTTCCCTGATTCTGCCAGAATAGATGTTAGCCTTTAAAACCTTTCTGTTTTATCCTTCACATAAAATTGGAAAAGCTGAAATACCCAAAGTCATATTACTTCCGAGTTTTGAGATGAGATTTTAAATCAAAGTTCTAGACTGCATAGACAAAGTTGTTGGATTTTTTACAATAAGAATATTCAAGGCCATCATGATGCAATATGAGATTAACCAAAAATAAATATAATAAATCAGCATCAAACAAATCCAAAGCACAGCCTATTTGGTAGCTCCAAGTTTACAGCAATGAAAAGGTAAGTTACAGAGATCTGTTAACATTTTCCCCTTTGAATGGAGTCAAAGAATATATCTTTCTATAGTGTTTTAAATCTCTTTTAATAAATATTCCTTTATTATTTTCTTTTTTTTTTTTTCTTGGGACAGAGCTTTGCTTTTGTTACCCAGGCTGGAGTGCAGTGGCACGATCTTCGCTCACTGCAACCTCTGCCTCCTGGGTTCAAGCGATTCTCCTGCCTCAGCCACCTGAGTAGCTGGGATTATAGGCACCCACCACCATGCCCGGCTAATTTTTGTATTTTTAGTAGAGATAGGGTTTCACCATGTTGGCCAGGCTGGTCTTGAGCTCCTGACCTCAGGTAATCTACGTGCCTTGGCCTCCCAAAGTGCTGGGATTATGGGTGCAAGCCACTGTGCATGACCAATAGATATTCTTACTAATGCTGCAGTTTAACTTTGCTAAGTATCTTTCCTTTGTCCCAATACATTGCTATAAATCTACATTGTTTTTTATTTTGCTCTCTCTTCCCAGGGAAACTGATCTATAGGCACTTCCTCAAAAGGGCTTTTATAATTTCTGGTTCCACTGGGTTTGGCCCATGGAGGTCATTGGCCAGAGATCAGAAGTGGAGAGAATGAGGTTGAGGTCATTGTTCCATTGGCTTCTTTCCTGCAAAGCTACCTTGGATCAGCTATGTTTCTCACTCAGTCAGCTATGGCCAACTCAACTGGAATCTCCTTTTGCCTTGCCATAATGCTTCCACGCCTTGAGGTAAACTACTAGCTATAGATTACTCACTAACCCTTATGGATTCCCTCACACACTTTTGAAAAAAATGCCCTTCTTGAATTACTGTATTTCAAGGGTGTTATTTAATATTTGGGATCATGACTGATAAATAACTTATGTAATTGACATCATCGTTAGAGCCAAAAATTACTTACTTTCTGTGGGGGCGCATGGCAACATATTCAAGCTTATGTACAAGGCATTTGAGGTCGCACAAGGAAAAATACTGAGGCACTGTGTGTATGTTATTTGTGCATGGGAATAAAACTCCTTGACCCTGAAAATAGGCCAAGGAGTGGAATGTGTCATGTGATAACGAACGCTGAAAACAGCCTCCTGAAAATGCTGCTTGAGTGTGTAAAGGTCACAGGTGCCTCAGCAATGCACCTCAAATGACCATCTAGTGAATGTTTAGTTAACACAAGCCCGTTTATGAATACTTGGCAGACCAACGCTGGGGCAGACTCTCTCGGAAGAGCTTCCCCCTAGCCCTGCTCAGCTGGAACTGTCTGAGTACTTTGTTCTTGGCATTCGCTGCAAGCTATAAGCTCTCCACTTTAGAGGTAAAAGACTGGATTGAAATCTCTGTCCTAGGAAACTTGTGCCAGGATGGTTGAATTCTATTTCCTCTGACATAGTTGTCAATGAAAGTTTCCTCTCCCTTATAGAACTCTGCAGGGTGTACCATTATATCCTATTGAGTCACAACAGGGAAAGAGAGCAAAAAACTGTAATTCCTAGAATAAAAAAACACTCAGGGGAGCAAAAAGGGGGCCTTCTCAATCTGAACTCCATCCAAGGGGATAGATGTCCTGAAACACCAAATATCTTTATTACTATGCAAATGCACACTGGGAAATTAAGCAGAGAAACGACACCAAACCTACCTCATCAAATATAACATATCTGATCTTTTTCACCCAGTTTTGGCGATGAGGAGCAAGCAGCAGAATTTCAAAGCAGGCAGGCACCGTAATAAGTACCTACAAATAATAATATTATGTGAAGTAACATTTTGAGCAGTTACTGTGTGTAAACATAGCTATAAGAATATATAAGATAGACTTATGAGTTCTGAATATGCCTGCTGATAATTGGCATAGAACATTGCTTCTGATAATTCAGGGTTTCATCCAAACTGTCCTACAGTCATTTGAACCGTATAAAACTGACATTGATAGGCAAAAAAAAAATGGTAGAAAATCAGATTTGAAGTTTACATCCTTGTTTATGAGCATTCAGAGTTTAAAAATAGAAATTATTCATGGTCACAGGTTTGGTTCCTTAAAACCTAACCCTGACATAGAGTTTGGACTGAAAGATGTTTATTAAGAATCTACTAGTGTGAAAAGAGCAGGGAAGCAGAAATGAGCAGCAGGAGAAGCCTCACTGTAAGGCAGGCCTGATGGAGCCCAGCCAACCTGGCTTGGCGCTCTGGAGTGAGGATTGCTCGGCCCACTGTTTGTACATCTATTTAGCTCGGTTGCAGGGTACAGGCTGTGAAGGTAGAACTGGGGGAGCTCATAGCTGGCATCTATCTTAACCACACTCTACACTTCAAGCCCTTCTTTGAAAGGCAATCTGGGTAGAACATCTCCATGTCTACCATGCAATGTTCTATAATCATGTGTTCACTCTTACTTACTCTTAATTGTTGATCCGTGAGTTCATAAGGGTGAAAACTGTCTACAATCTAACACCAGGTATACTGTCCCTAATTCAACATTGTCTAAATCATAAGTATCCTTAACAGATGTTTATGAAGAAAAAGTAATCGATTTAAAATTGAGGTTTGTTAATTTTTTATAACATAGCATTCTTTTTTTTTTTTTTTTTTTTTGAGATGGAGTCTCGCGCTGTCACCAAGGCTGCAGTGCAGTGGCACGATCTTGGCTCACTGCAGCCTCCACCTCCCAAGTTTTAGTGATTCTCCTGCCTCAGCGTCCCAAGTAGCTGGGATAACAGATGTGTGCCACCACAGCCAGCTAATTTTTTGTATTTTTCGTAGAGACAGGATTTAACCATGTTAGCCAGGATGGTCTCGATCTCCTGACCTCAGGTGATCCACCCACCTCGGCCTCCCAAAGTGCTGGGATTACAGGCGTGAGCCACCGTGCCCGGCCCCATAACTTATCATTCTTTAGATCATTTTGAATCCATTTATAAACCAAGATGATGCAACAAACTATAAATGAAATCAGAAATCCAAAGGTCAGTGTCCTTAAAAAAAAGATGAGTTCTAGTTCTCACTATTTGAAATGTAGCAATATTACATTTTCTCTAAAAGTATTTTGTCTTTCATAAATTCAAGGAAACTATTTTCACAAGGCCTTGTGAGGATGTTGAATTTCTAGTCAAAGAGACACATAAGTGCAGTTACATAATTTGATAACACACTTATTAATTAAAATACCCTACCTGACAGTTTAAGGCGTCATGACGATATTCCCTGGTGAAAACACCACAAAGAGCTTCACCACTTGGCAGATTTTTCGTAAAACGATTCTGAACAGTTGCTGCCACTTGATTAACAAGGGCCTGATTGACAAAGAAAAAGATCCATTCATCACATAATAAGGAGAGTTGAAATCTCAGAGGACAAGAAGAACCATCTAAAAGTGTGTCCTGCCTTCAGTGCAGAAAGCTTAGTAACCCCTTTCATCAGCTCATTACCCTAAACACAGTAACATGTTCTCTTTGAGACAGTTGACTCAGCCTACAAACCTCACTGACAAACCGCACTGATAAACCTCAACCTAAAGTAAAATGAAATTTAAAAAGTATTCATCAGAAGGAAGAAGAAAAAACAGAAGACATTGCCTATGCATCAGAAAAAAATTCTGCCTCCTATATTTGGTGGTTTTCCTCAATGTCTAAAGTTTGAATACATCTATGTTATTTTATGTATATCTTTGTGTGTGTATATATATGTATGTGTGTATATATATATATATATATATATGTATTTATATGTTATTTTAGCTTCAGAAACTAGAACAAGAAAATGCAGGTTAAAAAATGAAGTGGGCCAGGTGCGGTGATTCATGCCTCTAATCCCAGCAATTTGGGAGGCTGAGACAGGTGGATCATGGGGTCAGGAGTTCAAGACCAGCCTGACCAACATGGTGAAACCCCGTCTCTACTAAAAACACAAAAAACATTAGCTGAGTGTGGTGGTGCATGCCTGTAGTCCCAGCTACTCCAGAGGCTGAGGCAGGAAAATCGCTTGAACCCAGAAGCCAGAGGTTGCAGTGAGCCGAGATTGTGCCACTGCACCCCAGCCTAGGCAACATAGCAAGACTCCATCTCAAAAAAAAAAATAATAATAAAAATAAAATAAAGTGAACTGGATCTACCATGTGACCATGTTCATTTTTCTTAAAGAGTAGGTTCAGGAATGAAAGAGAATATTGAGTGCTACCTTTGTGGGCGCAACGTACACGACCACCCCGTCATCACTCTCCCTCAGCACTTTCTCCATGCAGTAGTAGGAAGCATAGGTTTTGCCTGAGGACGTTGGGGCCACAATCACTGCTGACTCATTCTTATCCACGACATCAAGGAGCTCTCTCTGTAGGGCCAGACCATTGTGTTAAGAAAGTGAACAGCATGTCATCAAAACAAAGACAATCTATTAACAGATTTCCAATAGGATTTTCTGAACCTCAAAGGACCTATAGGAAAATCTGAAGGTCTCATGCCATTTTATGCTTCTGAGCATCTCCAAGGTAGGTTTTATGTGTGAAAAATGGAGAGTATGTCTGAACAAAATATCTTATTATTGAGAAAGTGTCTTGTAATTATTTGTTGTTTAGTAAGTGCGGTTGATAACTTAAGTTCCAAGAAGTAGACACTATTTATATGACTGATGGTGAAAACAATAGCTGAGGAGAAGAAACATCAAACATTCTTCATTTTACTGCTTATCTTCTACTTTCTACATAGAAGCATGTCAGGCATGAGAGAGCTCTATCCCTGCAGTCTATGCTTTTATTCATCAAGATGTTGACTAGCCAAAGAATGGTTATTGCCTTTATAATAGACAGAAGGTGGGAAAACACCTCAAAACCCCAACTGGCCCACTCCTGGACACAACTCGGAGTGAATTAGGCATCAGAAGAGTCACAACGTGAATGGAAGTAATGGAGAGCATTACTGCCTCCTGTCCGGCACTGAAATAAGGAACCCGTCTTCCTGCTCATGAAAAGCCAGCATGAACTTTTTGACGTACCCTACCATTCTGAGAAAGGTAAAGTCAGATTCTGAAGGGGACAGTCTACTAGACTGAAGTTATAAAACTGCATTGCTATAGGTTAATATGTTCCATTTATCAGCAAGTTTGTGTGGTTCAATGTATGTAGAAATGCATCCTTTTCTTCTAAATTTTATATCCATGAGTATTAATTTTATATACATTTTTGGAATAGTTACCTACTATAGTGACAGATGCAATGTGTAAATATCTAAACAACTGTGCCTACTATTTAAACTATCCAAATTTCTTTATGCACATTTATATATTTACTTAAGAAATTCTATTGACATAGACAAAACCTGGAGGCTGCTCCGTAATAATAGAGCTGGATGACTGAGATACCATCAGAGCTAAACATACGAATCCATTAATGTACCTCCAAGGAAATGGTCTATATAATAAAAGAAAATCTCACCTTCTTTAAATGGGGAAAAATTGTCCACATTTGACATTTTCAATAACAAAGTATCCTTTCAATACTGAGAAACCTCTGAGATCACATGTAATAAGAAACTACAGTAATTTTTTTTTGCTTTTTTAATTTATTTATTTATTTATTTATTTTTGATAAGTTTTCCTTTTTTTATTGTATTTTAGGTTTTGAGGTAAATGTGAAGAACATGTAAGATTGTTGCACAGGTACAAACATGGCAGTGTTGCCTTCCTCCGCATCACCAAAATAGAGTAATTTTTGTTTCAGTTGAAGCATTACCTGCCATGTGTCTGGAATAAAATCATGGACCCTGGGATCCCGATCTTTTCTCTCATCTCGTATCAAGTAATGGCCCATGTATTGTAGTTGGAACCGAGCTGGCCCCATGCCAACTGAATACTTACTCCTTTTCTTTGCTTTTACATCATTTTCTGCATCCTGTATTATTTTAAAAGTCAATTTTGAAAATGACAGTGAATTAGAATAGCATTGAAATAAGTAAAACATTTATTACCTAGCACCTTCTATGAAAAGCATTTTACCACCTTTTAAACTTAATTTTTTAAAATCATTGTCTTAACTATGAAAAAATAATAGACATCAAGATTTTCAAATATACATCATGACATTTGTAGCTGCAACCTGATATATTTAAAGACAATTGAATAATCACACTATAGTTTTAAGACGTTTTGCTATAATTAAGTATAGGGTTAGTTTTAAGGGTCTGCAGAGATTGACATTGAATCTGTTTGCCCAGGTAAGCATTTGTACAAATTTTCTAATTAAGCATTATTTTAAGATTGGGCAGTTGGGTTACTACTAATAATAGTATTTTCCATAAAAAAACAAAAATCTGGAAGAGATGACTACATTTGCAAAACACTTTACGTATACCTAATAATGACCCTGTTGAAATTGAGCTGTTCTGATAATATTACCTGGGTTGGATGTAAAGAACTTGCCAACTCATCAAATCCTAGGTACTTAAGGCATCTGGCTATAAGTTGCCGATCATCTTCTTGTAAAAGTTCTGAGTATTTTTCCATCAAGGAGTGGATCCTTTTCATCATCTGAACAGCTACACTTAAATCTTTTGTGGTTTTACCTTGGTAAAGAATAAACAATAAAATTGTTATAAAGGCGGTCAAAAATAACTCACATTGATTACCCAAGATTAATCATCCACATGGCCTTACTATCTTACTTGGCATTAGTGGAGGTTTTGGAGTAGAAAGGACAAAATAAAATAAAATTCAAGTTCAACTATCCACACTTCATCATCTCTGTGGATTATTGAGATGTAGCTTTGTCAGCGTTGGGGAAAAATTATAGTTCATAATATAAATAAGCTCATAATCAATCTTTTCTCCGACTATTATTTTTATATTTCTTCTACTATGTTCAAAGAAAACATCTTTATGACTTTAAATATCTGGTTAAAACTTTAGCAACATGTATTGAGTCCTGCTGTTGCCCACAGGTAAGTATTGGAAGGCATCACTGCAGCCCTTCGATTCAATCCATCTATTTCAACTGACACATTCAAGACTTTGCTAATCTCTCTCCATTGCTTTATATTTATACCTATCCTTTTTTTTCCTCTGCTCTGCTAATTATGTCATACTTATCTTGTCAGGGTTTCTTCTAATCAATCTATATTTCACTTATTTAACAATATTATCAAACACCTACTGAATGCAGTAAGAGGCCACAAAGGAAATGTAATACAATTCATACTGATTAAGTGTTATGCACTGCTTTTATAAGTGAGCAGTTCACTTGGAAAAACAATGCATAACACTTGATCAGTCCCAATTAAGCAGTAGAAACAATAGGTTGGGGGGGGTCAGGGTGTTGGAGGGAACATGGAGGTCACATGTTAAATGGATCCAAGTGTGGAGATGCTCAAAACTGACAGATAAAGTAGGTTTGCTCAGAAGAACTGTCACTTTGGAGGTATTACGGAACAAGATCATTTCACTTGCTGTGAATTTATACATCCCGATGTGGTCCCATTTCACCTTTATGTTCCTCTTTCTGCCTCTTCTTTTCTTTTTTTACTACCTGCTATGGAAATTATAAAGCAGAGCACATGGTTTCCATAACAGCTTTGAAAGGACTCAGCATGCTAGGCAAGCAGGAATACAGTGTTACCCAAAAAGGAAATGTTTACTCTTTGGTTTCAGAAGTGAATGACAGATTCTTCCAGGGTGCCTCACCATTTTTGTTGGCTCCCTTAACTATCCCGACAACTTTAAAAGTTGTTGTTTTTGCACCTGCCAGCACCTTGACTATGGCATCATTCATTTTGTCAAACAATATACAACTGCCCGCTGTTTGATTACATTCCATCAGCAATTGATGCAGACCCTAATCTGGACATAATAATGTGCTGGAAATTATTCACCATTGCTGATGCAATAACAATCACCAAAGATGAGATGGATGAATTAAACCCAAAAACTATAAATGCCTGCTGGAAGAATTTATGGAGTGAAGCCCTGAGTGATTTTCAAGGCTTCTTGAGGATCACTGGAGAAGTTAGGAAAATAATTCATGCAGCAAGACTAACTCATAGAGAGGGATTTGCCAAAGTGCTTGATAAAGAAGTGAAACAACATAATGAAGTTCATTAAGAAATGTTAACAAATGAGGAAATGGAAGAACTTATTGAGTCATCTACAGAGGAAGATGAAGAATAAGAACCTGACGCAGAACCTGAATTTGCTGAAGTCTTTCAAATTACACAGATATTAAAAGAAAAAACTATGGAATACAATTCTCAGATGGAACACAGCATTAAAGTCACTCATATAATCACAAAAGAATTGCAAACTTCATGGAAACAGTGGCAGGGCATGGTGGCTCATGCCTGTAATCCCAGCACTTTGAGAGGCTGAGTGGGTGGATCATGAGGTCAGGAGTTTGAAACCAGCCTGGCCAATATGGTGAAACCCCATCTCTACTAAAAATACAAAAATTAGCTGAGCATGGTGGCACATGCCTGTAGTCCCAGTTACTTGGGAGGCTGAGGCAAGAGAATCACTTGAACCTGGGAGGCAGAGGTTGCAATCAGCTGAGATCACGCCACTGCACTACAGCCTGGGCGACAGAGCAAGAATCCATCAAAAAANAAAAAAAAAAAAAAAAAGTGACAACAGTTACTGATAATGTTGTTCTTCCAAAAGATTTCATCAGAAATCTTTCAACTATGGAGGTCCCCAATCATCAATATCGTCTGCTCCTAACATCAATCATCTGCTCCATCATGGCTTAGTGATGCAGGATCACCTGAATCAGAAGATCCTGCACCTTTTGTATCATCAGAAGGTCAACAACAGCCTACATCATTCACCTCACTTCACCTCATCATGCAGCCATTCTATCATCTCACATTCTCACAAGAAGAAAAAGGATGAGTACAGTACAAAAAGGTATTTTGAGGAAGAGAGACCATATTTATATAACTTTTATTACAGTATATTGTTATAATTATTAGCTATTGTTAATCTCTTACTGTGCCTAATTTAGAAATTAAACTTTATCGCAGGTATGTATGAATAGGAAAAAACAGCATGTATGTAGCATTTGATCCTATCCGTGGTTTCAGGCAATCACTGTGGGTCTTAGAACACACCCCCTTGCAGATAGCGGGAAACTACTGTAGAGGTAATAATCCATAAAACAGGATAGTGCATGCCAGTTTTCTAATACAAGTCTTTCAGTTAGTAAATGACAACTATCATCATTACTTTTGTATTAATTCTCCAACTCACTGAAACAAGAAAACACAGAATCACATACCTTCTTCACTGCGGCAGTGCTCTTTCCAGGCTTTCAGGCAGGCAGTTAACCCCACCATTTCAACATGAAATTTCACAGAGCTACTTTTACAGGATTTCAGAAAGTCTTCCAGCTTCTTTATTCCGGAGTGTAAATTCGCTTTCATTTCCTCTTCAATAGAAAATGACAAAGAATTCCACTTTTGCTCTTCCTTTTGTTCTTCCTTGGCAAGTAATCTTTTCTTATTCTCTCTAGCAATTATATCAGCCTTGGTCTCCTGCCCCAAAGAAAAAAAAGTCTCTTAAAACAAGTTAGAAATGTTCTAAGATAACAGGTCATGAGCGAGACAATGTTAAGTGTGTATTGATGACTTTGACCATCATCCCATTTTGAGAAGACGTGAAAATTTCTTTGTTTTGTAAATTAAGCCTCTGTTAATTTAAAACTTATGACAATTTAATTTAGGGAGTATAAAGTCTCTCTGTAGATAATTTCTAGATTTCTGAGTGGTGTGGTTTATAAATAAAAGAGTAAATGTCACTCGGCACGGTGGCTCACGCCTATAATCCTAGCACTTTGGGAGGCCGAGGCTGGTGGATCACCTGACGCCAGGAGTTTTTAGATCAGCCTAACCAACATGGTGAAATCTCTTCTCTACTAAAAATACAAAAATTAGCAGAGCATGGTGACATTCACCTGTAGTCCCAGCTGCTCGGGAGGCTGAGGCATAAGAATCCCTTGAACCCGGGAGGCAGGGATTGCAGAGAGCCGAGATTGGGCCACTGCTCTCCAGCCTGGGTGATGGAACAAGACCTTGTCTCATAAATAAATAAATAAGAAAGAAAAAGAGTTAATATCACAAAATCAGAGACAAGAGGCCACCACTCTTTTCATGTTTCCATGCAATGATACCTGCTGCTCTCTCTGGAATCCCTGTCCTCTTCCATTCTTCCCAAGTCACCTCCCTTGTCTCTACCTGTTCTTTAAGATATTTCCTCCATGAAGCTTTCCCTGACTCTCTGAAGTCTAACTCATGGATTTTTCCTGTGCTCAGACACCTATTGGAGCACTCATTAACACAAACTGCAGTTGTCATTTCATTTGCCATTCCTCCTCTCTTGACCGAGATCCTTGAGACAGGAATGTGCCTTTGCTGTCTGTACGTCTCAAGTGAAACACATTTAGCCCATAATGTTTGATGAGTGAACAAGGAAAGAGGAAGACAAGGAGTGGATAGAAGGAACAACACAAATACAACTGATTTGCTCTTCCTCAATGAGCATTTCCAATCGACTTAAACATGGTATGGACCCACTTTTACTATGCTTTTACCAAGCTGACTCATTAATCTACGAAGACAAATTAGAGGATTGTTGTATTAGCAAGAGAGTTCCAACACATCTTCCACTCTTCTGGTTAGCCACAAAATTAATATGTAAATGCTTGCCTTTAAGGAAGTCAATTTTAGCTCATCAGTCTCTAGATTAGAAACTTAAATAATGCTAATCAAAATATCTGAGCTTTCCCAGTGTTTAGTATTCCTAATTTGCTGTGTTGGGCCAATTTAGCAAGATTCTGTCTCAATAGTACAAGGGTTACCTTTGACCCTTTGCCATGTAGATTCTTCTATTTTCATACATTGTATTATGTGACAAGAATTTCTGCAAACTTGCTATTTCATAACATCTCTCAAAATAAATGAATGAAAATCAAAGACTCCAACTAATCAAGGCCAAGATGTTTCAGATTTGAAAAAATGAAAATGACCATCAATCTAGTAATATAAATGGGCAAACAGCAGGTGATCCAAAGCATGGAACACCGCAACGTACAAATGATCCCTCCACCGATTTGACTGCCCCTGCAAACATTACAGAAAGGTGCTCCCCAAGAGGAGGAGGAGAGCAAGCTTACCCACAAGGCCATTTCCTAGCATCTAAAGACCTAGTCCACAAAGAAAGTAATACTTCTGTTGCGAAGAAAAATGCCTTTGAGTTGCTTTTTCATAGCTATTGGAAATAATAAAAAGTTACTGATTATATCCAAAAAAAAAAGCAAAAAAAAAGAAAAGCAGCAGCTTTTATCACCCATAAATGTGTAATTGAATAGTCTCACTAACAATCAAATCAGCTATAAAAATGAAAAGGAGGAGAGAAACAATGATCACATAGTTGGGCTTGAAGAGGCTTCTCTTTGACTCTGAAAACAAAAGATGGGACAGCCCAATTTCTGCCTGAACTTTTGAAGCAGTTCCAGGATAGAGGCTTCACAGAAGGTCTGAGAACCTTTTAAAGTAATTTTAATTACTTTTTGATGTTATCTTGAGTAGAAAATAAAAGAGCTTTTTTTGATAAGTCCTTGAACTGATGAAGTGTCTGTCTCTAAGAATTCTGCAATGTCCTTTGAAGGCTTGGTGAGGCGATGCACATTTTCCTGATCTTGCCAAAAATTTCACAAAAGTAATTATTCAGAAGTGAGAATAAAAATATGTTTTGAGGTTCTTATAGGTTTCATTTCTGATAACTTCACCATGTTATTTCAATCTATTAAGGCAGACATGTGACAAATGCCTTTATTCATCATTGGTTTTGTTAAGTTGGTACTTTCTTTTTATATTAAAAGTTTTATCTTGGGAGAAACTTTTTGTGAAAAGAAATGCCATTCCCAAATCTCCAACTTTGAGGCCCACAGAAATATGCTAAAGCCTGATGAGTTTCCCATTTGTTTAAAATGGAAACCTTTATGACCTTCCTCTAAAGTCATAAAATCAGAAAATTCAGTTTTAAAATAAAAATTTCTGTACTTAAACATTAATGTTATCAGGAATTATCAACTGATAATTTTCAGATCATAAGCTATTAGAATTATTATTCCAGGAATAGATTGTAACTTTCCATATTTACTCATTGGAGTATTATTATTATTATAGTATTATTATTCCAGAAATAGGTTGTAGCTTTCCTTATTACTAAGTAAATAAGGAAAGTTACAACCTAGTTCTGGAATAATAATTAATTCCCCAGTTATGGCCCTTGGGAAAAGCGTAGAAAAACAATAATCTCAAGAAGGAAAAAGGAAAGGTCACAGGAGTCCAACCCACACAGAAAAAGGAAATGGAGAGATCTAACCTTCTACCCCAAAAACGGGGTATTAATCAGTTATTTAGATACTTTGTAAAAGTGTAAACAATCTTTATAATTTAGAAAAAAGTAGATAAGTATTTACTTATTTTTACCACCTATATGAAAAAGATTTTCACTCCCATTAACTAATAAACAAATACATATATTTTGAGACGGAGTCTCACACTGTCGCCCAGGCTGTAGTGCAGTGGCACAATCTCGGCTCACTGCAACCTCTACCTCCCCAGTTCAAGTGATTCTCCTGCCTCAGCCTCCTGAGTCACTGTGATTACAGGTGACTGCCACCATGCCTGGCTAAATTTTTTTGTATTTTTTATACAGAAGGGGTTTCACCATGTTGTCCAGGCTGGGTCTCAAACTCCTGACCTTGTGATTCACCTGCCTCAGCCTCCCAAAGCACTGGGGTTACAGGCGTGAGCCACCATGCCTAGCCTATATTTTTAATGTTATTTCAACATTTCTAAACACAAAACTTTAATCACTTAATTGTTTTTCAAATAGATACATATGCTATTATGTATAGAATACCATTACAACTTTTTTATGCAGGTTAGGCTTTTTCAGCAAGTAATTAAAAGAATAAGTAATCACATATAAAAATAAATGCATATATATGTGTGTGTATACATATATATATGTATATGTGTGTGTCTGTATATATATATATATATAAAGAAAAAGCATTATATAAAAAGAAAACACCAAAGAGATAACAAATATCAACTTGAGAAAAGAAAAAGAAAAATTTTTAAATTTGATAGAATTTATAGGACCTACATGTGCCTTTTTGCTCTTGGGCCCACTAAAATCTTTCTTTGACTTAATAGTTTGAGTCACGATGACTTTTGAAGAGACCATTTCTAATGAATTCCCATAAAATCGTTGGAAAACGTGATACTTCTGCAGAGATTTAAGAGCACGAGGATCTCTAGATTTTTCTGAAAAAAAAGAAAAAAAAAGACTTAAAATGTAACATTACTGTAGTTTTTCAATAGCATTCTCATCAATTCTTCAGATTATCCCATATCCAGTAGTTAAATTAGTGGAAAGTAATTTAATCTTATTATGCTTCCTAAAGAGAGAATGTAAAATCAGATTATCTGTGGATAATAATTCTTTCTCTTATTTAAAAGGTGGAAGGGAAAAAACTTACTTTAATGGTCTACCCCCTAAATCAAGTATCAGAGTGCAATGAAAAAAGGACAGATTCCAGGCATTACCTATGTCCTGTGCCCTGTGAATTAGTTTAAGAAGAAAGTAGAGGCAGAGTCAAGAAGACAAACTTCTAAATTATTCTGACTTCTTGCATCACTGCCTAGAAAAAATCCTTACTCCAGACCATAGCCACAGAGCCAGAGCCCAGAGCACGGCAGCTAAACTGATAAAATCTAATAAGAAGTCCCAATAAACAGCAGGTGTAGTGGCTCGCACCTAATCCCAGCACTTTGGGAGGTGGGTGGATCTTCTGAGATCAGGAGTTCGAGCCAGCCTGACCAACATGGTGAAGCCCCATCTCTACTAAAAATACAAAATTAGCTAGTTATGAGGGTGCATACCTGTAATCCCAGCTACTTGGGAGGCTGAGGCAGAAGAATCACTTGAACCTGGGGGGCAGAGGCTGCAGTGAGCCGAGATCGCACCACTGCACTCTAGCCAGGGCGACAGAGTGAAACTCCATCTCAAAAAGAAAAAAAAAAGGAAGTCCCAATAAAAGTCAAGGTATGTCTTACTCCCTTACCTCCATAAAAAACTATAACACTCATGGAAATGCAATAACTAAGATGATTAATTTTTCTATGTCTGTAACTATATACATCAAACCACTCGGAAGCATGTTAACGGTTCATCGAAAGCATGCCCCCACACGTTGGTCATTATTTACAAACCAGGCTAATAAGTACTTCATACGAGCATACTTGCTATGCCTACTCCTAGATTATTCTCAGAGTAAGTCTTTTCAACTCTAATGGGGGGGGTGGAAAGAACAGGGATACAGAAAGCTGAGATGAAGACTAGACCCCTAAGTCAGTCTCTGGCGATCCACTATTAGTGGTTTCATGGGCCTCCTTTTGTAGTTTCAGCCAACCTGACCATGAAGGCGGAGAGAATGCTGGTGCTCATTACATGCAGTGAATCGGATGGTGTGTAAACGGGTAAAACTGCTTGAAAGACTATGATCTCAATATATCTGACTCCAAGGAATACATACATTGCTTAAACTACAAACCATCTTTCCCTAAAACAACTTCTAGCACTTTCTCCTAAACACCTACATATCTACATACGTATGACTGTCGGTAAAGAAAAAGAGAAGTTATCATTACGGTCTTTCCCAATGCACATCTAAATATCTCGTAGACTATATTCAAAAATTTTAATTTGTGTCTCATGATATGATAATTTTCCACTATAAAGTAAAAGGTAGAGAGTCAAGTAGATTTAAGTTTATTTCACCAGTCACAGAGCTCACCATCAAACTGACTTTTGGTCCTGTCATAATCATCACTCAGGGGTTTATGAGAATGCCAGTGGACAAGCTCATCAAATTCCCTTTGTTTAACCAGTGAGGTAACAATGGGATCATCACTGTGAGACAAAAAAAGGCATATTTTAAATTGCACACTTCCAAAGATAACACAGCACACATTTTATTTTATGATATTGTTTTAAAATCATAGCTACCCTTCTTTCTACAATATCATGTGGGTGATAGAATCTAAAGAGCAGTTTATTAGAGGTTTAATAAATCAAAATCTACTCCTTGTCTCTAACAGTCCCATCGGTATCAACTAATATTCATTAACTAATTCATTAATTTAAAATACGCAGCTGTAGTGATTTACTCTAAGATTAAAAGCTATATAGATTTTTACATAGTAATGGCCAAAGGGCACTGAAAGTTTTGATTTTTAATTCATTGTGTATTACAGACACATGCTACATGTCATGTACTCCAGTCTTCTGCATTTCAAATAAGCTTTGTTGAATAACTCCCGCATTCCATACAAGTATTTATTAAGGCACACTTGTGGGCCTCATACCTCTTTAGAAAAGGCAAATCTTTCAAAATATCTCCAGCAAATTGATCAACCAGAGAAGATGACATTGGAATAAAACCCAAATTTGGCACCATTTCACTGGAGCTGTCTGTAAACAAAAAATGGAGACAAGGACAAATGTAAAGCTTTCAGACAGGAATATTATGTATTATTTTCTAAAATTTCACATTAAAAACATTTTACCTTAATCTTATTTATATGTATCAAGTTAAGCCCTTCTTAGAAAGCTATTTCCCACAGTAAAAGATTTTGGCATACAGCAGAGTATAAAGAATTAGACAGTATTTTGGAATATATGTGGATATGTATGGGGGATGTGTAGGTGGGGGGATGGATGGATGGGTGGATGTAGGAATGGGTAAGTAGATAGATCATAGATGGATAAATCAGATAGGAGGAAGGGAGGAAGGAAGAAAGGAAGGAAGGGAGGGGGGGAAGGAGGGAGGGATAAGGGAAAAATACTTATGCCTTTTATTTTCAAGTGTGAGTTCCTTTTATTATTTCTTATTACAAGCAAAGAGTTTGAGGATGGAAACCTCAGAGATTATATATCTATATCTATATACATGTACATATACACACAGAGAGAGACTTTCATAAAAATGAAATAAAAAAGAAGTAGGGAAAAATACAGATGGTAGTGAAATTATTTGATACCATTACAGTATTCTCTTGGATCCTCCTTGATTTTATACACACACACACACACACACACACACGCGCTAGATAGATGGTTGATAGATAGATAGATAGATAGATAGATAGATAGATAGATAGATGATAGGTAGATAGATAATAGATAGATGACAGATGATTGATAGATAATAAATGATAGATAGGTGATTAATGGAGAATAATAGGTGATAGATAATTGATAAAATATAGGTAGATAGATGATAGATAGATAGATAGATGATTAATAGATAGGGAATAGAAAGATGATAAATAGATGATTGATAGATCGAAGATAGGTACATAGATGATAGATACATATGATGATCCATATATACACACACCACACACACACATACACACACACACATTAATGAAAATGAAATAAAGAAGCAGGGAAAAATACAAATGATAGTGAAATTATTTGATTCCATTGCAGTATTCTCTTTGATCCTCCTTGATTTTAGACACACACACACACACACACACGCACATTAGAAAGATAGATAGATAGATAAATGGATCGATAATGGATGATTAATAGAAGATAGGTAGGTAGATGACAGATGATAGATAATAGATAGATAATTAATAGGGAATATATGATAGATAGATGATAGATAGATAGATAGATAGATAGACAGATAGATAGATAGAGGTAGATAGATGACAGATAGATGATAGATACATACATACATACATATCGTGTACATGATGATGATAATGGAGGAATGGATGACTTTCTATGGAACGTCTGGCCCATGATTCCAGGTAAAACACCATTGCTCTGCCTGAGCTCCTGGCGCTCACTCTGCCTGTGTTTGTCCGGATCCTTTTTGATTTAAGTCCCTGCAACTTGCTGCCTAAAAGAGCCAGAGAGCCCACGTGGTCCTCCCTAAATTTTTCAGCCCCCAGGATTCCTCTTCTATTGTTTTGAGCTTAGCCATAATTATATGAAAAGATGTTTGGTGTCTCTTATCCAGCATTTCAGATGTTTTACACAAAGAGATTTTTCTGTTGACCTATACTGCCATATTACTGGAAACGGAAGAAACAATATTAATTATAAGCAAAATGTAAACCTTTATTATTATAGCATACCACTCCAAGGAGATAAAATAAAGGTAACTTATTTTTATTGTTAAAATCAAGTGTCAGAAAATTATTTATTCTTGCAGCACTGAATTAGTGGTGTTTACTAAACATTTTCAGAGGAATGGTGCTTAAATTTCAGATTAAATTAGAAGTTTATTACCTTTGATTGGTGATGGTGTCTTTTGAAGAAAACAAAATTGTGTTGTTCTCAGAGGAAATGGCTGTCCAACCTCAAAGTCTCTGACCACCTTTGATATGGTATTCCAGAGATATTCGTAATCTTTCATAATGGTATCTCCCAAATTCAAATGTAGGCCTACATAACAATTAAAAACACTAAATATTAGAAGCCATTCACACCCACACAAAGAATCATTAGCCACATTTTGAGTAAATTCATGGACTTCTGAAATACTTTCTACACGGTGAAATTTTTAGTGAGTTCCACATCGGACATAAATGAAAATAGTCACTAGTGTTGACAAAGAGATACAGACTGTAAAGTTTATCTTGTTTTCGTTTTAATAACTAAGTATTAAAATTGTAACTATATTAACTAAAAAAACAAATCAGCCTGTAATCCCAGCACTTTGGGAGGCAGAGGTGGGCAGATCATGAGGTCAAGTGATCGAGACCATGCTGGCCAACATGGTGAAACCCTGTCTCTACTAAAAATACAAAATTAGCCAGGCGTGGTGGCACATGCCTGTGGTCCCAACTACTTGGGAGGCTGAGCAGAAAAATCGCTTGAACCCAGGAGGCGGAGGCTGCAGTGAGCCGAAATTGCACCACTGCACTCCAGCCTGGTGACAGAGCAAGGCTCTGTCTCAGAACAAAACAAAACAAAATCATGAACATTTAACTACTCTTTAAGGTAATAAAAATGTCATGCCACGCATAACTTTACAACCAACAAAACTGAATAAAAACTTTAATTTTTGAGAGATGAGAAAAATTTGTAAAGGATTGTTAAGTTTACATGCAGCCAATTTATTATGGTAATTACAATATGAAGGAACCACATCACAGTGGTCAAAACTTCAATAATGTTCAATCAGTTAGAGTTCTGTCCAAACATGTTTTTGTTTTGTTTTGTTTTGTTTAACTATTAGGAAACCTCAGAAACCTTATCTTAAGAAAAGATATTAAGGAAAGAAAAACAAATTATATATAAAACATATAAATCAGCCTTATCTTTTGGAAAAAAATTAAATTTCCTAAATATCTTAATGGCAGTAAAATGATTAAATTAATTAAATTTTATGAATATTATGCATGCATTTAAATGAAAAATTCAACTTTTGATATTAATTGAAAATGCTGAACGTGCAAACATACATTTTCTCCAGAAATAATTTTAATGTAATATTAACTGAAGAAATATTTTAAAATACAGCATTCCCTCTGATTGCAACTAAAAAATTACATACATATATGAACAAAGATGAAAAATGAATATAATTGCTATGTTATATGTTGAAAATATAGAAAAATTATTTTGCAGTTTTAAATTCCTTATAAGGCTTGTCTGTGGATGAAAATACAATTATTATAATATACTGAGATGGTACCTTTTATATTTTCATTTTCATAGTAAAAAGCAATATTCTTCAACAAAAGCTCATCACTTAAGTCAGAAAGGTGAATTAAGTTCAGATTCCAGAATTCAAAAATATGTATATTTCTTAAGACAAAATATTCACACCACTTTTTCTGAAAATTGAAAAGAAAACCAAGTTATTGGCAATTTTCATATTAATAAACTATAGAGTTCGTATGCTTCTGAACTGAAAGACGGTGCACAGCACGGTTCCAATTCTTACTAATGAAAGCGCATTCAGGCTGAGAAATGGTGAATACTTTATACCTTAAGGAATTAAAGCATAAAATAAAATAAAAACTGATCCAAAAAATGTGTTCCATATAGTGCTTTATCCTGAATCAGGGAAATCTACACTTGACTCTCAAAATAGTATTTTTCTCACAGTTACCCACAGATAGAATCCTAAGGTTACAAAAATATTCCTGCTTTGAAATGTGCTTCTGTTCTTTATTTAGATTTTAATATGCTCAGATTTAACTTTCAGGTCAAAAGAACATTTTTTTAAAATAATGTGTTTGAGTGTTCAGGGACCTAGAAGATGCTGAATCCTTCAAACTCTAAGATTTCCATCCACCTACCTGGTTGATCTCCATCTTCAAGGTTGAGAGTAAACCTCATGGAAAGATCCCTTCTATGATTTGCTTAGTTGCTTTCTCCAGAGGCCTCAAAAATACTTTTATAGTGAAAATATTAGGGGCTATCTGGAATTACACTTCAAGCTACTGGGTGTTACCAAAAATGAGGCGTGGAATATGGGAAAGGCAACACAGGTGGCTGACTACGGGTTAATCAGCTGTTGCTCCATAGGGCACATATTTGGAAGCTGGACAGAGGGAAGTCAGATCTCAACTTGATCATTCATTAGCTGTGCTCATGGACCCTGAGGCTGAGGCCAAGTTTTTCCTTTGCAAAATGAGGGCATAAGAGGATCGTTGCATGTCTAATTAAAGACGAATGTTTCCCATTCGCTAAAAGTACAACCTAGACCTTAGTCTCTTAATTATGATCAATAGTGAGCTCCGCGTCATTAAAACCGGTGTATTTTCAGTCCTCTGCCTATTACAATCCCCTATGGCAGCTGATACTATGAATCACAGCCACCTTTTGAATTGCCCAGTTCCTTTGACCTTCAGGACAACCCATTCTCCTTGATTTTATTCCTATTTATCTAAGTGATTCCTTCTCAGTGTCTTTTGCGTGGCTCAACACATAGTTAAGTGTTTAATATTGGAATATTTGAACTCCCTGTCCTCAGCTCTCTTACCATATCTCTCTTCCAGAATAATTTCATCTCTTAGCATAGCATCAATTAACATCCATAGGGTAACAATTCCTAAGCTTTTATCTCTAGCCCATTCGATCCTTCCAAGTCCAAACCATTGTTTCAAATTGTTTACCAGATATCTCCATATGGACATTTCATTGGCACTTTAAACTCGATATTTCCAGAAAAGAAACTCACAGTCCTTCCCCACTAATGTGCCCTTCACCCAATGGCAGCATCCCCAAAAGGCTCAAGCCAGGGATCTGGGAGTTATTTGACTCCTTCCTTTCCTTCATTCCCCACACTCAGTCACTAAATCTGTCATTCTTCACCTTAAATAGCTCTCAGAATAGCCCACTGCTATTCATCTCTATTTACCCCTCGCTGATCCCTAACACCATCCACACGTACATGACTGAGGTAATAGTCACCTAATTTCCACGAATCCCCCCTGTTCTGCCCCAGCAGTGCACTCTCTGCACTGCAAGTCAAGGAAAGTTTTTTCCAATGCAAGTGCCGCTCATCCATTTGAAACCATCCAATGGATCCTCATTGTGCCTTTCTCAAGCTCTATCTCCATTCTCTTCACAGGGCCTACAGAATCCTATTGGACTTGTCTCTTGCCCACCTCTTCAGCTTCATCACTTTCCCGAATTTTTCCTACCCCTACTATGATAGACATATCTCAGTCCCTTGGTGACGCCATCCTCAGGATAATCACACCTGCTGACTGATGCCCTGGAATCCGGCTTCATCCTCTCTCCATCCTGCTAACTCCCTCCCTTTCTTCAGGACTTGGGTCTCTTCATTCCTTTAGAAGAACCACTGTTTTCAGACTATGTTGGATCTTTTTATTATCAGATTATAAAGCATCCTATGGTTCCTTCTTCATAATTACTTTTAAAATTTAATATCTGTCTTCTCTGGAAAATATAGCTCTCTGAAGGGGTTAGAGTGGGAAGGGCAAATATGTCTTTATTTTCCTTATTCTGTCCCAGTGATAAGCACAATGCACTAAATGTCTGTGGCCTGGCTTCCTAGTTGATTGGTTATAAAATACTTTCCTTGAACATTTTCACTACATGTATTATGATCCTTAAAAAAGTTCATGCCAATTGATTCATCAATCCCATTTCTAGCTCTCAAGCCAAAATCAATAACCCCAAATTAAAGGAAAAGGCTTATACACAAAGAGAATAACAGCATCTCTAATACATCAAAGTCTTCTTAATATTTCATAATAGAGAGATGGGTAAGTAAACCATGATACTAAAAGATAACTAGTAGCCATTAAAAATGATACTAACTAATATTGTAAAAGAAAATAGAAAAACATGAAAAGAAAATAATATGTGTGTATATAGAGTTCCAATATAAGAAACAATAAAACATCAGAAAAACATATGCATGTAAAATAAAGAGAATACACCAAAATGTTAATAGTTAGCTGCAATGATTTAAGTGGTAGTCCTATGGGGAAGTTTTTCTTTTGTTTTTGCTTCTGTTTTCCTAAAGTCTCCAAATTGTCTCTAAATATTCTTTATAACAGAAAGTAATAAACTATTACATTGATTTCTTAAGTTTCTCTTAAGAGCAGACCACAGTGATCTGCTCTTAAGAGAAAGAGCAGATATCGTTGTGTTATCAACTATAGTTGATAACACAAAAACCTGATCTTGGCAGAGATTTAACGACAGATAAATAGAGAGGCTTTTTCCTTAGGTTAGATATATATCATGCTATGTGTTAGTTCTCCTAAACATAGATGCTGAAATTAGAAAGTGATTGATGTAGGCCATTAAACTAAAAGTAGTCCCACATAAGTGAATTTTAAAAGTTATTGTGGTTTTTATCTATCAAACATTCAAAATACAAAAATAGTAAACTAATCAAGAGTACATTTACCATTTTTAATAAAGGCTTCGTGTCCTCCGCCCAGTGGGAAGTGATGAATCTAGCACAAGCTCTTTGAGAAAGAGGCAGATGGAGTAGAAGAACCACAGTGAGACAATGCAGTTTACACAAATCTTCCATCTCCTGCAGGGTTAAGCAATTACTTTTCACCTGAATAAAATAAAGAAGGTAAGCCAGAGAACAGCAGGGTGTGACACTGCATAATAAGCATATAGGACCACAGGAGCTGGCAGCCACCTTTGCTGCACAGGAATCAGGAATTATTACTTTTTTTCTTTTTCTTTTATTATTTTTTTCTTTTTTTGTTTCACTCTTTCATCCAGGCTGGAGTGCAGTGGCACAATCTCAGCTCACTGCAACCTCTGACCCCCAGGTTCAAGCAATGCACCTGCCTCAGCCTCCTGAGTAGGTAGGATTACAGGTACTCACCACCAGGCCCAGCTAACTTTTGTATTTATAGTAGAGACAGGGTTTCACCATGTTGGCCAGGCTGGTCTCGAACCTCCCAACTCAGGTAATCCACCCGCCTCGGCTTTCCAAAGTGTTAGGATTACAGGCGTGAGCCACCGCGCCCAGCCGAATTATTACATTTTTCATTCTACATTTTGTAAAGACTTTCCTTTTCTTTATAACATAAACTCTACTGCATTTATACAGATGTGAGATAAGTGGAGCAGCAGCTGCCAGCTTAACAGTAGTTAAAATAAGACCATTTTCAGGATTTTTAGTTAAGCCAAACTCTACATGAGCTGATCAAGCAACTAACGAAGTCATAATTTCACAGGACTCTGCATGGATGGAGCCATATATTAAATGCTCTATTCCATCCAAGGCATCATATTTTTAGGATAATATTGAAATTATCAGGTCGAGGACACCAGGATGGTAACAGATCTGAAAAACCTGCCCCATGAGAACAAGGGTAAAGAAGTGGGCACATCTGACACTGTGGGACAAGAACGTGATAGCTGTCGTCAAACATTTACAGAGCTGTCAAAGAAGCAAGTGTAGGATTTCATCAAGGCACCTCCAGAAGGCCAAATAGAGTCTAATCATTAGAAGTCCCAGAGAGACAGATTTGACTTAGCATCACTTTTGTGAGAATGATTTATAATAGCACATCTAGTCATGAAGAAATGTTTCACTAAAAATATATTCAACCAGATATTGGAAAAACAATTATAAGGATGCTAGGTAAAAGATAATGAGCCCTGAACATTTCTGAAATGTTCAGAAACTTCATTTCTCTTTAACAGAAATCTTTTGCCAGAATCCCCCAGGAGATCATATACATAATAGTATGTGTATACATGTGTGTCTGAGTGTGTAAGAGTGCGTGTGTGTGTGTGTGTATGCACATGCCCACCCATAAGCACATATATGTAGAGACCACTGTGTATTTGGGGAAGGAATCCAGACTGGCCAACAGATTCTTAATGGACTTTATTAGCCATAAAGAGGGTTAAAAATGTTAGTATCTTTCTGGCTAGTTTGACGCCAAGACACCACAGTAGGAATGTTCTTTCAAAAGACAGTTGGTGGCTGGGCACGGTGGCTCACACCTATAATCCTAGCACTTTGGGAGGCCAAGGTGGGTGGATCACCTGAGGTAAGGAGTTCAAGACTAGCCTCATCAACATGGTGAAACCCATATCTACTAAAAATAGAAAAAATTAACCAGGCATGGTGGTGTGCACCTGTTACCACCACACTACCCAGGGGGCTGAGGCAGGAGAATCACTTGAACCCAAGAGGCGGAGGTTGCAGTGAGCCGAGATTGTGCCACTGCACTCCAGTTTGAGCAACAGGAGTTAGACTCCCTCTCAAAAAAGAAAAAACCAGACAGTTGGCAGTGTGAAATTTGCCCAACACAGACCTGAGCTCCATCCACATTGCTATTTAATAGCTCTGGTTTGAAAAATGTTACCTGGACTATTTCAACTTCAGTGTTCTCATATGTGAAATATCTCACAAGGCTGTTGTGAGGATTTCATGGCACAACGCAAATAAAAAGCCCAAAACAAAGTCGCATAGTAGGCTTCCACCAAGTACTAATATCCTGTCTTGTTTCATTTTCCTTTCGATGATTTAGACTCAATATATACTAAGGGAAACATCCACATAGTAAAATGTTAAATCATTGAATGGCACAATAAATGTTTCCTGATAAATATAAATTTCAATTTTAGTTTTTGAAGTGTATATAAATAAGAGAAAAACATGAAGTACCAAATAGAGGAAATGAAAGATACAAATCAATAAAACTTCCTAGGTGGAGAGCAATAGTATTTCCCAGTAAAGTTATAACAAACACACCTGTTGGGTCTGTTTTCTGACAAGAGGAGGAATTTCTGTTTCCTTTTTTTTTAAATTGTTGTACTTTAATTTCTGGGGTACATGTGCAGATCTTGCAGGATTTTACATAGGTATACACATGCCATGGTGGTTTGCTGTCTCCATCACCCCGACACCTACATCAGGCATTTCTCCCAATAGTATTCCTCCCCAACTTCCCCAGGCCCCACTGTACCTTCCCTAGCCTCCAGCCCCCAACACACCCCAGTGTGTGACATTCCTCTCCCTGTGCCCATGTGTTCTCATGGTTGAACACCCTCCTAAGAGTAAGAACATGCAGTGTTTGGTTTTCTAGTCTTGTGTCAGTTTGCTGAGAATGATGGTTTCCAGATTCATCCATATCCCTGCAAAGGACATGAACTCATCCTTTTTTATGGCTGCATAGTATTCCATGGTGTGTATGTGCCACATTTTCCTTTTCCAGTCTATCATCAATGGGCATTTGGGTTGGTTCCAGGTCTTTGCTATTGTAAACAGTGCCACAATAAACACAGGTGTGCATGTGTCTTTATAACAGAACGATTCATAGTCCTTTGGGTATATACCCAGTAATGGGATTGCTGGGTCAAATGGAATTTCTATTTCTAGATCCTTGAGGAATCGCCACACTGTCTTCCACAATGGTTGAACTAACTTACACTCCAAATGGCAGTGTAAAAATGTTCCTATTTCTCCACATCCTCTCTAGCATCTGTTGTATCCACATTTTTTAACGATTGCCATTCTAACTGGCGTAAGATGGTATCTCAATGTGGTTTTGATTTGCATTACTGTAATGACCAGTGCTAATGAGCATTTTTTCATGTTTATTGGCCTCATACAGATCCTCTTTTGAAAAGTGTCTGTTCATATCTTTCACCCACTATTGGATGGGTTTGTTTGCTTTTTTCTTGTAAATCTGCTTTAGTTCTTTGTAGATTCTGGATATTAGCCCTTTGTCAGATGGTTAGATTACAAATTTTTTTCCCATTCTGTTGGTTGCCAGTTCACTCTGATGATTGTTTCTTTTGCTGTGCAGAAATTCTTAAGTTTAAGTAGATTCCATATGTCTATTTTGGCTTTTGTTGCCATTGCCTTTGGTGCTTTAGTCATGAAGTCCTTGCCTATGCCTATGTCCTGAATGGTTTGCTTAGGCTTTCTTCTAGGATTTTTATGGTGTTAGGTCTTATGTTTAAATCTTTAATCCATCTGGAGTTAATTTTGCTGTAAGGTGTAAGGAAGGGATCCAGTTTCAGCTTTATGCACATAGCTAGTCAGTTTTCCCAAAACCATTTATTCAACAGGGAATCCTTCCCCCATTGCTTGTTTTTGTCAGGTTTGTCAAAGATTAGATGGTTGTGGATGTGTGGCATTACTTCCGAGGCCTCTATTCTGTTCCATTGGTCTATATCTCTGTTTTGGTACCAGTACCATGCTGTTCTTAATACTGTAGCCTTGTGTGTATAGTTTGAAGTCAGGTAGTGTGATGCCGCCAGCTTTGTTCTTTTTGCTTAGGATTGTCTTGGCTATGCATGCTCTCTTTTGGTTCTATAAGAAGTTTAAGGTGTTTTTTCCAGTTCTGTGAAGAAGGTCAAAGGTACCTGGATGGGGATAGCGTTGAATCTATAAATTACTTTGGGAACTATAGCCATTTTCACAACATTGATTCTTCAAAACCAGGAGCATGGAATGTTTTTCCGTCTGTTTGTGTCCTCTCTTATTTCCTTGAACAGTGGTGTGTAGTTCTCCTTGAAGAGTCCTTCACATCCTTTTTTAGTTGTATTCCTAGGTATTTTATTCTCTTTATAGCACTTGTGAGTGGGAGTTTGCTCATAATTTGGCTCTTTGTCTGTTATTGGTTTGTAGGAATGCTTGTGATTTCTATACATTGATTTTGTATCCCGAGACTTCGCTGAAGTTGCTTATCATCTTAAGGAGCTTTTGGGCTGAGACGATGGGGTCTTCTAAATATACAATCACGTTGTCTGCAAATAGATACAATTTGACTTCCTCTTTTCCTAATTGAATACCTTTTATTTCTTTTTTCTTGCCTGATTGCTCTGGCTAGAACTTCCAATACTATATTGAATAGGAGTGGTGAGAGAGAGAATCCTTGTCTAGTGCCAGTTTCCAAAGGGAATTCTTCCAGCTTTTGCCCATTCAATATGATATTGGCTGTGAGTTTGTCAGTATGATATTGGCTGTGAGTTTGAGATACATTCCATTGAAACCTAGTTTATTGAGAGTTTTTAGCATGAAGGGCTGTTGAATTTTGTTGAAGGCCTTCTCTGCATCTATTGAGATAATCATGTGGTTTTTGTCTTTGGTTCTGTTCTATGTGATGGGTTACATTTATAGATTTGCATATGTTGATGCAGCCTTGCATCTACGGGATGAAGCCTACTTGATTGTGATGGATAAGCTTTTTCATGTGATGTTGCATTCGGTTTGCCAGTATTTTGTTGAAGATTTTTGCGTCGATGTTCATTATGGATGTTGGCCTGAAGTTTTCTTTTTTAGTTGTGTCTCTGCCAGGTTTCTGTATCGGATGATGTTGGTTTCATAAAACGAGTTAGGAAGGATTCCCTTTTTTGTTGTTGTTTGGAGGAGTTTCAGAAGGAATGTTACCAGCTCCTTTTTGTACATCTGGTAGAATTTGGCTGTAAACCCATCTGGATCTGGACTTTTTTTGGTTGGTAGGCTATTAATTGCTGCCTCAATTTCAGCTCTTGTTATTGGTCTATTCAGGGTTTCACTTCTTCCTGGTTTAGGCTTGGGAGGGTGTAAGTGTCCACTGTTGAATTGATGGTGATATCCCCTTTATCATTTTTTATTGCATCTATTCGATTCTTCTCTCTTTTCTTTTGTATTAGTCTGGCTAGCACTCTGTCTATTTTCTTGATCTTTTCAAAAAACCAGCTCATGAATTTACTGATTTTTGAAGGGTTTTTGTGTCTCTATCTCCTTCAGTTCTGCTCTGATCTTAGTTATTTCTTGTCTTCTGCTAGCTTTTGAGTTTTTTGATCTTGCGCCTCTAGCTCTTTCAATTTGGATGATAGGATGTCAACTTTTAGATCTTCCTTCACTGCTTTTGTGGGCATTTATTGCTACAAATTTTCCTCTAGACGCTGCTTTAAATATGTCCCAGAAATTCTGGTATGTTGTGTTTTCATTCTCATTGTTTTCAAGTTATCTTTATTTGTGCCTTCGTTTCACTGTTTAACCACTCGTCATTCAGGAGCAAGTTGTGCATTTCCGTGTAGTTGAGTGGTTTTGGATGAGTTTCTTCATCTTGAGTTACAATTTGATTGCACTGTGGTCTGAGAGGCTATTTGTTGTGATTTCCATTTTTTCTGCATTTGCTGAGGAGTGATTTACTACCAATTATGTGGTCAATTTTAGAGTAAGTGTGATGTGGTGCTGAGAAGAATGTATATTCTGTAGCTTTGGGGTGGAGAACTCTGTAGATATATACTAGGTCTGCTTGTTCCAGTTCTGCATTCAAATCCTGGATATCCTTGTTGATTTTCTGTCTTGTTGATCTGTCTAATGTTGACAGTGGAGTGCTAAAGTCTCTCACTATTATTGTGCAGAAATCTAAGTCTCTTTGTAGGTCATTAAGAACTTGCTTTATGTATCTGGATGCTCCTGAGATTTGGTGCATATATATTTAGGATAGTTAGCTCTTTTTGTTGGATTGATCCTTTTACCATTATGTAATGCCATTCTTTTGATCTTTGTTGGTTAAAAGTCTATTTTATCAGAGACTAAGTTTGCAACCCCTGCTTTTTTTTTTTTCCTCTCCATTTGCTTGGTAAATCTTCTTCTATTCCTTTATTTTGAGTCTATGTGTGTCTTTGCATTTAGGATGGGTCTCCTGAATACAGTATACTGATGGGTCTTGACTTTTTATCCAGTTTTCCAGTCTGTGTCTTTTGATCAGGGCATTTAGGCCATTTACATTTAACGTTACTACTGTTATGTGTGAATTTGATCCTGCCATTTTGTTACTGGCTGATTGTTTTGCCGATTAGTTGACACAGTTCCATCATTGTGTCATTGGTCTTTACCATTTGGTATGTTTTTGCAGTGGCTGGTACTGTTTGTTCCTTTCCATGGTTAGTGTTTCCTTCAGAAGCTCTTGTAAGGCAGGTCTGGCAGTGACAAAATCTCCCAGCAATTGCTTGTCCATAAAGGATTTTATTTTTCCTTCGCTTATGAAGCTTAGTTTGGCTGGAAATGAGATTCTGGGTTGAAAGTTCTCTTCTTTAAGGATGTTGAATATTGGCCCCCATTCTCTTCTGGCTTGTAGGGTTTTTGCCAAGAGATCCACTGTGAGTCTGATGGGCTTTCCTTTGTGGGTGACCCAAACTTTCTCTCTGGCTGCCGTTAGCATTTTTTCCTACATTTCAACCCTGGTGAATCTGATGATTATGTGCCTTGGGGTTGCTCTTCTTGAGGAATATCTTTGTGGTGTTCTCTGCATTTCTTGGATTTGAATGTTGATCTGCCTCACTAAGTTGGAGAAGTTCTCCTGGGTAATAACCTGAAGAGTGTTTTCCAGCTTGGGTTCATTCTCCCATCATGTTCAGGTATACCGATCAAGCAGAGATTAGGTCTTTTCACATAATCCCATATATCTTGGAGGCTTTGCTCATTTCTTTTCACTCTTTTTTTCTCTGATCTTGCCTTCTCATTTTATTTCATTGAGCTGATCTTCAATCTCTGATATCCGCTTGATCAGTTCAGCTATTGAGACTTGTATATGCTTTGCGAAGTTCTCATGCTGTATTTTTCAGCTCCATCAAGTCGTTTATGTTCTTCTCTAAGCTGGTTATTCTAGTTAGCATTTTGTCTAATCTTTTTTCAAGGTTTTTAGTTTATTTGCATTGGGTTAGAACATGTTCCTTTAGTTCAGAGAAGTTTGTTATTACCCACCTTCTGAAATCTGCTTCTGTCAATTCGTCAAACTCATTCTCCATCCTGTTTTGTTCCTTTGGTGGTGAGGAGTTGTGACCCCTTAGAGGAGAAGCATTCTGGTCTTTGATGATTTCATACTTTTGGGGCTTGTTTCTTCCCATCTTCGTGGATTTATCTACCTTTGATCTTTCAAGTTGGTGATTTCTGATGGGTTCTCTAAGTGGATGTCCTTTTTGTTTATGGTGAAGCTATTTCTTTTTGTTTTTTATCTTTCCTTCTAACAGTCAGGCCCCTCTGCTGTAGGACTGCTGGAGGTCCACTCTAGATCTTGCTTGCCTGGGAATCACCCATGGGGATTGCAGATCAGCAAGTATTGCTGCCTGATCTTTCCTCTGGTAGCTTTGTCATGGAAGGGTACCTGCCAGGTGACAGCCAGAGCTCTCCTGTATAAGATGTCTTTTTGGTTATACAGGGGTCAGGGAGCCGCTTGAGGAGGCAGTCTGTCCCTTGTCTGCCTGCAGAGGTGCTGCTGGGCTGTCATAAACTCAGTCCAGCTGCTGTGTAAGCTTCCTCTGGCTCTTGTTTACACAGGTAGGTTTAGACCCCCTCAGCAATGGCGGATGCCCTTCCACCCACCAGGATCAATCATCCCAGGTTGAGGTCAAACTGATGTGCTGGCTGCAAAACTCTCAAGTGAGAGGGCTTCAATTTGCTGGTCTTTTGGGGGGTGGGACCTACCAAGCCATGTCATCTGTGTCCCTGCTTTCAGCTCCCCCTCTTTCTGGGGAGTGGGTAGCTCCACCCTGCCAGGTGCTCTTGTTGCTAGTCAACATGATCACCCAGATCTCTGCTGACAACCTGCAGCGTCTGCTGTAGCTGCCGCTCAGATCTGTGTTGGTAACTCGTGGCGCTTTTCAGCCTGATGGGGATTTCCTGGTCTGTGGGCTGCAGAGGGCATGGGAGAAGTGCAGTATCTGAACCAGAGTGCCAGTGGAGGGGGATGTCCCTGATGCTCTGGTGAGTTGCACTTCCCAGGTGACGCAGGGCCCCGCCCTGCCACAGTTTGCCCTCCTTGGGCTACACCCACTGCCTAACCAGTCCCATTGAAATGAACCTGGTACCTCGAATGGAGATGTGGAGATCACGTGCCTTCTGCGTCTTTCTTGCTTGGAGCTGCACTCTGGAGCTGTTCTTATTTGGTCATCTTGGTGGAATCCCCTGAGATTTCTGTTTTCTAAAAAGCGATGGTACATTCTCAAAGACAATGAGCATGAAGTAACACAAAAGACACGCCGAATGTCAGAGCCTTCTGGCCAGATTTGTGTAAGCAGAGATATAGTCTCATGTGCCTGTCAAAGAAAAACATTGGAACGTGTCATCTATTTAGAAAAATATTTTTATTCATAAGTGATCTTATCAGTGAGCACAACTAGGCTTAATAGATATGTGACAAAATAATCTGTAAAACAGATCCCATGACACACGTTTAAAAATCTACACATGTGCCCCTGAACTTAAAGTTAAAAAAAAAAGAAATGAGAAGATTTTTCTGAGATGAAAGGAAACCTGTGTACATAGAATGAAAGAGCTCACTGTATACCAAGAGAATAAATGAAATTACATCCTCATACCATATAAAAAAAAGCAACTCAAAATGGATTAAAGACTTAAATATAAGACCTGAAACTGTAAAACAACTAGAAGAAAACATGGCAGGAAAGCTCCACAACACTGGTCTGAGCAATGATTGTTTTGGATACCACCACAAAAACACAAGCAACAAAAGCAAAAATAGCCAAATGGGATGGCATCAAACTAAACATCTCCTGCACAGCAAAAGAAGCACAGACCATCCACAGAATTTGCAAACCACATATTTATTCTTTTTTTTTTTTTTTTTTTTTTTTTAAATTCTGAGACAGGGTCTCACTCTCTCACCCAGACTGGAGTGCAATGGCCAAATCTCAGCTCACCACAACCTCTGTCTCCCAGGCTCAAGTGATTCTCCTGCCTCAGCCTCCACGGTAGCTGGGATTACAGGTACCTGCCACTATCGCCCAGCTATTTTTTGTATTTTTAGTAGAGATGGGAGTTCACCATGTTGGCCAGGTTGGTCTTGAACTCCTGACCTCAAATGGTCCTCCCACCTAGACCTCCCAAAGTGCTGCAATTACAGGCATGAGCCACTGTGCCTAGCCAAACCATACCTTTAATAAGGAGTTGAGATCTAAAGTATAGAAACAACTCAAACTCAATAGTAAGAAAACAAATAATCCAATTTAAAAATAGACAAGGGACTTGGACAGACATTACTAAAAACACACAACCAACCAACCAAATGGCCAATAGGTACATAAAAAAAATATGCTCAGCATTACTAATTAGACTAATCAATTAGACAAATGCAAATTAAAACCACAATGAGATGTCACCTCATATCTGTCAGAATGGCTTTTATCAAAAAGATGAAAGATGACAGTGTCAGAGAGGAAGCAGAGAAAAGAGAACTCTAATACATTGTTGGTAGGAATTTAAATTAGTACAGCCATTATGGAAAATGGTATGAAGCTTCCTCAAAAAACTAAAATTAGAACTACCATATCACCCAGTAATCCCTTGTCTGGGTATGTGTACAAAGGAACTGAAATTAGTATGGCTAAAGCAAACTAAATATGGCTTGAGAAGGACTTCACTCTTCTATATTTGAGTCCTTGTGGATGAACTGCAATGTAACTTAACATGTAGACAAGATTGAAAACCTAGTTTAGGAGTATGTTTCTGTAACAATCACTTGAGTCTTGGCCAATCCCAGCAGCCATGCTTCAATCACTCATACACTGCTGAGCATTTAAATAAGGCAAATGCAGAGTTGTAATCAATCCAGCTCTTCTGTACCTCACTCCTGATTCCTGTACATCAATTTACTTTTTTTGCCTACAAGTTTGTTCTAACCACATGGCACCCCTGGAGTCTCTCTGAATCTGCTCTGATTCTGGGGGCCACCCAATTTGTGAATCGTTCATTGCTCAATTAAACTCCTTTAAATTTAATTTGGCTGAAGTTTCTCTTTTAACAGTATATTGAAGGGATATCTGCAGTCCCATGTTCATTGACACACAGTTCACAATAGCCAAGACTCAAATCAATCTAAGTGTTTTTCAACACATGAACGGACAGTGAAAATGAGATATGTATACACAATGGAATACTATTGAGCATTTAAAACGGGGGGGAATCCCGTCATTTTCAACAACATGGATGAACCTGCAGGACATTATGCTAGGTGAAATAAGCCAAGACAAAGAGACACCAAACCATCTCACTTCCATGTAGAATCTAATAAAGTTGAACTCATAGAGAAGAGAAACTCTTCTTTTCAGGGGGTGAGGGGAAAAATGAAGAGTTGCTAATCAAAGGCTACAAAGTTTTGAGATCTATTGTACAGCAGGATGACTACAACCAATAATAATGTATTAAATATTTCAAAAGAAGAGCATAAATTTCAAATATCTCACCATAAAAAATGATAGGTAAGCAAGGTGATGGATATGTTAATTAGCTTCATGTAATCATGTCACATTGTATACATATATCAAAACAAAACATTGTACTTCACAAATATATACAGTCATGATGTGTCAATCAAAAATAATAATTTTTTTAATTTAAAATTTAAAAAAGAAGAGAAACTATTTAAAAGACAGGAACTACTTAAGAGGACAATTTTCTTTTTCTTTTTTTTTTTTTTTTTTTTGATGTAGTCTTGATCTGTCACCCAGGCTGGAGTGCAGTGGCATGATTTCGGCTCACTGCTACCTCCAACTCCCAGGTTCAAGCGATTCTCCTGCCTCAGCCTCCTGAGTAGCTGGGATTACAGGCATGTGCCACCACACCCAGCTAATTTTTGTATTTTTAGTAGAGATGGGGTTTCACCATGTTGGCCAAGATGGTCTCAATCTCTTGACCACATGATCCACCTGCATTAGCCTCCCAAAGTGCTGGGATTACAGGAATGAGCCACCGCACCTGGCCAAGGGGACAATTTTCTGAAAACAGCTTTGGGAAAGAAGGAAGTTTTTTAAAAAAAAGGAAGAAGTATCCTTCGGCAATTAAGTGGTGAAAGGATAAAGGAAGAATTTGTGGAATCTGCCAGTTAGAAGAAAAGCAGATAATTTGAGGACTCAAAACCACTCACCCACTGCCAAAAGAAGTAAATGAACAAACTAACAAAAACCCTGGTAACATGCCTGGACTCTGCCGGGCTAGCAGAAAAAGATAACATCACATTAAATTAATTTAATTAGATTGGATTAAATTGAATTAAAATATCTTGTAACAAACCTCAATATCATTATAATGAAAGGAAAGAGAGTTATTGCAAAAAGTATTAGCAGAAAAAAAATTCCCCACAAATTGAGTGAAAATCTCATCACTACCTCCAAAAGTAGTAATAATAATAGCAACCGTAAAGCAGAAGAAATCCCTAAATCTACACTCTAAATATGGATATGCTCAAACAAGCATTCAATCATACGAAAAAATGATCTTTATTCAGCAGCTGATAAACCAGAAACAGAATTGGAAAGAAAGACAATAAATAATTAATTAAGAGAAATAATCTTAGAAAAATGCAAAGCTAACCAGAAATAAAGAATAAGTTACAAGATGCCCAAAAAAGAATAATATAAATAAAATTTAATGAAGAAAGGTAAGAAAACAACCAAATGACATAAAATAAAAACCAAAAAAATGTTTAAAAAATAGCGGAAGTGAAAGAAAAATATTTGTATCATCACAAATCTTACCAACAACAAAACTGGGCCAAGCACAGTGGCTCACACCTGTAATCCCAGCACTTTGGGAGGCTGAGGCCAAGAGTTCAAGACTAGACCGGGCAACGTGACAAAACCTCATTTCTAATAAAAGTACACAAATTAGCCATGTGTGATGGTGCAAGCCCGTAGCTCCAGCTATCCTTGGGAGGCTGGAGTGGAAGAATTGCTTGAACCAGGGAGGTGGGAAGGTTGCTGAAATCACACCACTGAACTCCAGCTTGAGCAACAGAGCAAGATATAATAGTAATAATAAAAATTTAATAATAATACAATTAATATTTTTAAAATAATCCAATAAAAACCACTATATGCAATAGATGAATGCTAGAGGGTACTGAAAAAAATTGAAACCTCAGAAACCAAATAGTGAAAGGCAAAATAAGAAAACAGAGGATTAAGATTATTCTTTTAATAAAAAAGGTACAACTCAAAGGTAATTGCCATCACAGAACACGTAAAAGTCCAAATTTTAAAATTGTTTAAATAAAATAACAAAGAATACACAGATCATTAAAGAAACTTAACAAACACCATAATACAAACACCTGTAACATATAGAATCAAGACCAAACATATCAGTCATAACAATAAATGCGAGACTTAACTCACCTCTAAAGGGAAAAATAATTTCAATTTGGACCACATTCTGTATACAAGACACACAGCTAAAACAAAATGATTCAGAAAGACTAAAAATAAAGGAATGGGCATAATTCTGCTAGGTAAATGGAAACTAAAAGAGAGCAGAGGTTAGCATCCTGATATTGGGCTAAGCAGCATTCAAGCTCAAAAGTACTACATGTGAAAAAGAAAAGCAGTCTTTTATTCCAAAAGCCATAATCCATAATGAAAAGTTATCCCTTATAAAAAATTATGCAACATATAGGACAGCAACCAACTTTGTGAAATAAAAATGACAAAAGACAAAAGGAACTATATAGAGAATCACACGTATAATAACACATTTTAATACACAAGAGAGACATCTGGACAAAAAAGAAGTTAAAGAATAAAAGACTTAAACCAGTGTAATCAACAGAGTAGACCTTATGAATCAAACTGCATCGTGGTGATGGGGAATCTTCATTTGTCTTAAATGACCCCAGCACATCCATAAAAATTAATTATTCATTAGTTCACAAAGAAAACATCAGTAACTTCCATAATGTAGAAATATTACAAACAGATCTTCATAATACAATAGAGGTAGTGAAAAAAAAAAAACAAAACAGAAAGAAATTTTAAAAATCACAAATGTGCTTCAGTCTGAAACTTAAAAACATTTATATTACGTCAATCTCGGGTGAAAGGAAATACAAACTCAAATTACAGATTTTTTTTTAATGACAAAAACAATTTACAGCATAATCTATGGGTTATATATAAAGCAGCAATTCAGAGGAAAGTTTATTTCACCAAATATGTTTAATATTAAAATAATTTTTAAAATGAAAAAGTTCCCAGCATGCCTAAAAAATCTGTAAAGAAACAACAAAGTGAAAACCAAAAAAGTAAAAGATGAAAGAAAGCCCAAATTAATAAATTTAAAAAATCAATAGATCTCATTAATAAATCAAAATTCTTGGTTTTAAATAACTTAAAAACAGATAAACCACTAGTTAACTTTATCACAAATAAAAGCAAGAGAACTCACAAATATACAAAATAAAATTAAAAGAGGAAGTAATTATTGAAACAGAAGAAAAATTAAATCACAAAAGCCTACTTCACAAAGTTCTATGCAAATAGACTTAAAAACTTAAGTGAAATAATTTTCACTGAAGAATAAATTACTAAATTTGACTCCATTCGCGTTAACAAGCCCAAAGAAGTCGATGTCCATGGAAGAAATACAGAAAATTAAGAAACTACCTCACAAAAAAGCACCAGGACCATGTGGCTTCACAGGGGATTTCTATCAAATCTTCAAAGATTAGATAATCCCAATAATCTATGCATTATTTCACAATATTGAAAAAGAAGAGAAGACATTCTAATCTTTTATGAAGCACATATAACACTGACATCTAACCAGATAAAGGCAATTGAAAGAAACCAAATTACAAAAAAGTATCATTCATGCACACTGATGCAAAATTTCTAAACAAAATATTATCAAACAGAATCCAACACCATATTAACAAGTAATACACCATGACTAAGTTAGATTTATTCCAGGAATACAGAGTTGCTTCAATACTGGGAAAAATCATTAACACCCTACACAATACTAATAAAACTAAGGAGGAAAAATCATATAATTATATACACAGTTTTAATAAACATCCATGCATTCATGATAAAAATGCTCAAGAAAATAGAAGCTACAGTTAGGCACAGTGGTTCACGCCTGTGATCCCAGCACTTTGGGAGGCCAAGGCAGTTAAATCATGAGGTCAGTAGTTCAAGGCCAGCCTGATAAACATGATGAAGCCTCGTCTCTACTAAAAATACAAAAATTAGCCAGTCATGGTGGGAGGCACCTGTAGTCCCAGCTACTTGGGAGGCTGAGGCAGAAGAATTGCTTGGACTCAGGAGATAGAGGTTGCAGTGAGCCGAGATTACAGCACTGCACTCCAGCTGGGGCAACAAAGCAAGACCCTGTCTCAAAGAAAAAAAAAAAGCAGCAGCAGCTACGAGCTATGTGTTTAACATCAGTGTGTGTGTGTGTGTGTGTGTGTGTGTGTGTGTGTATTATATGTATATGTGTATGTGTATATACATACACATATAATGTATATACACACGCATGTATATATAGTGGTAATGTTTCCTATACCTTTCACATACCTTTCATAATAAACATAATTAAAAACCAACAGGAAACAGGTGGGAGGCACCCAAGATGGAATACAAACACAAACCAGTGAATCTAACTGTATTAAAGGATAACATAACCACACCAAAGGAGGTGGGTGAGAAAATCACTAACCTAAATAACTTTGGAAAGAGTATATTAACATATTCTATGGCTACAGTTTAAAAAGGGACTGCATGTGAATCTTACAATCTCATTGACTCTGTTTCTCAAAGGGTATGGTTAGCAATTATAAAATTACTATACAGAGGGAAATAATAGACATGGCGGCTGCAAAAGTGGGTGGGTCAGAGGGGAGTGATGGTTGAAAAGTTACCTGCTGAGTGTAACGTTTGGGTGAGTACAGTAGAGAACCAAACCTCAACATTATGCGATATATTCATGTAACAAACCTGCACGTGTATTCCCTCAATCTATACAAATCAAAATAAAAAAAAATAACTTTATGTGTGTATTAAAACTGAGCAAATAAGTGAATATATTGTAGATAATGAAAGTGGGAAAAAGAAAAAAAAGATAAAAAAAAGAAAGTGGGATTTCTCACGATTGAAGAAAGAAATTTAAAAAAGGAAGGGGAGGGGTAAAATGAACTATTATGGATTTGAATCCTAGTTCCGTTTGCTGAAAAGCCCTAGTAACAATGACACCCCAGTAGCAGTTACCAGGATAGTTTTCAGATCTGAACTTCTAAACGCCTTCTTCTTTGGAGATGTAGTTAATTTCAGGGGTGGGGTAGGGAAAATACAAGATGCTACTGGACTGTCTTGTGATTTCAAAAAGTTATAAAGTACAGAAAGATGAGGGCTTGTAAAAGAAAACAGGCGCCAACCTAAAGGGGCTTCTAATGTTCAAACCTGAGGTAATTTGAGCTCCACATAATTATAATGTTGTATTTTAATGTATAATATAAAATAAATATATTTGTTCATACTGACATAAATCAATAAATGGCAGTGCTAAGACAACTGTCCCTTACAGTGGAGTTCCAGCTAATCAATGCAGAAGGAAAGAGTGAAATAAAAAATCACCATTAGGAAAAAACATCAATAATCATTGCTGCACACAAGATCCACTGCCGACACTAAAATTAATCCACTAAAGTTTGAGAAGAAACAGGATCTGCACAGTCACAAAGCATGTCCTTCAAAATTTATTAACTACAAAGCACAGAGAGTAACTTCATGGTAGAGAAAACTGTCAGGCACCAACTAATCAATGCTCAGATACATCGTAAGGAAGCACTGAGGACACAATATTAATTCTGTGACATTCTGGCCAAAGATGTAGAATAACCTCATTCCAGTTATGAGAAAACATCAAACGCGTGCAAACTGAAGGTTATTAAAAAAATAAAAGTTTGGTCGTCTTCAAACATGTCAAGGTCAAGAAGGACAAGAAGAGGCTGAGAAACCATTGCAGACTGGAGAACACTCAAAAGTGTCCACTGACAACTGAAGATGGATGTGGTATCCTGGACTGAATCCTGAAATTGCAAAAGGACACCAGTGGAAAAGTCAGAGGAATTTGAATAAGGCCTAAAGTTTAATATTGACACAAAGTTAATTTCCTGGTTTTCATAAATGCCCCATGGTTATTTAAGATGTTAACATTAGGGGAAGCTGAGTGAGAAGTATATGAGAACACTATTTTTGCAACCTTTCTGTAACTGAAAAATTAGTTCAAATACAAAGCTTTCTAAAACATTTCGTTACCTCTTCCATCATATCATTCCATTCTAAACTTCCAAAAAGAGGTGCTAATGCAGAAACCTTATATCTTTCCAATTGGTTAAGCAGGGTTACATAAGCAACTTCAATCTTCTGTTTATTCTATAAAATAAAGGAAAACCAGAAAAATTGTTATAAATAAAATAGGTAATAATTTTCCAACTATAGAAAATTAGATATTTTAGATATGATTATGTTATAAGTTTTAAGTCATATATATATATATATACACATATACATATATATATATATATATATATATATATACCAATGTAATTGTAAGGTGGTTTTTTGTTTGTTTGTTTGTTTGTTGTTGTTTTGAGACAAGTTTTGTTCTTGTTGCCCAGGCTGGAGTGAAATTGGGCAGTCTCGGCTCATTGCAACCTCTTCCTCCTGGGTTTAAGAGATTCTTTTGCCTCAGCCTCTCAAGTAGCTGGGATTACAGGCACTTGCCACCATGCCCAGCTAATTTGTATTTTTAGTAGAGATGGGGTTTCTCCATGTTGGCCAGGCTGGTCTCGAACTCCTGACCTCAGGTGATCCACCCATCTCAACCTCCCAAAGTGCTGGGATTACAGGCCTGAGCCCACAGCATCTGGCCTAATTGTAAGTTTTAAACCCTAATGAGCATCACTATTGTGTCTTTGCAAGTTAATTTTTGCCTACGAATATAGTGTATTTTGTTTTTTAATAGCTTCATAAAAGTATAATTAGCATAAAATTCATTCATTTTGTTACAATTCAATGGCTGTTAGTAAATTTATAGACTTTGGAACAAATACCACAATCTAATTTTAGAACACTTCCAGCACCCACCAAAACATCATCATGCCCATTTAATGCAATGTATTTTGACAAATTTCAAACATACACATGAATAAAAGATAACAAAACCCCTCACAGGTACCTATCACCCAGCAGCCATTTCCAATATGCATTGTATTTTTAATCGTACTTCACATAATCCTCAAATTGACGAATAACATAACTTCTTTAAGGTGAATATTCAACAAATTAGGAAATAGATTATTTTACTAAAAATGAAATCCTTCATTTAAAAAATTATTCTTAAGGAAAGATTAGACAGGATATGTGTAGGTACTCTTAAAACTCAGATTTAGAAATTGCTCTAACAGAGAAAAATGAGATAATAACAGTACTTCTGTTATTATATAAACAGAAATATAATATAAAAATGAATCCCAGGGCTATTCCTGCTCAGAGTAGGCAACCAGTGTTGAAAATAGTTTAATACTAGTCATGGGCCACATAATGACATTTCCCTCAGCCATGGACCACTTATATGTTGGTAGTACCATACGATTATAATGGAGAGGAAAAATTTCTACTGCCTGGTGATATCATTGCCATCGTAACGCTGCAGCACAATGCACTACTCAAGTGTTGATGGTGAGGCTGGCATAAACAAACCTACTGTCCTGCAAGGCATCTAAAATGACAGCATATACAATTATGGAGAGCATATCATACTTGATCATGATAAAAATGACTATTACTGATTTATAATTTTCTGTACTATACTAATTTTTTATTATTATTTTAGAGTATACTCTTTTCAATTATATTTTAAAAACATTAGCTGTGAAACAGCCTCAGGCAGGCCCTTCAGGAAGTACTCCAGAAGAAGGCATTGTTATCCTAGGAAATGACAGCTCCCTGTGTGTTACTGCCCCTGAAGACAGTCCAGTGGGACAAGATTTGGAGGTGGAAGACAGTTGATGTTAATGATCCTGACCCTGCGTAGGCCAAGGCTAATGTGTATGTTTGCATCTTATTTTTTAAAAAAATCTTAAAACGTAAAAAGTATATATTTTAATAGAAAAAAAAGCTGATAGAATAATGATATAAAAAGAAAAAAGGCCAGGCGCAGTGGTTCACACTTATAATAGAGTTTGAGACCAGCCTGGGCAACATGGCAAAATCTTGTCTCTACAAAAAATACAAATATTAGCTGGGCATGACGGTGTGCACCTGTAATCCCAGCTATTCAGGAGGCTGAGGCAGCAGGATCACTTGAGCCTGAGCCATGGAGGTTGCAGTGCATCACTGCACTCCAGCCTGAGCGACAGTAAAACTCTGTTTCAAGAAAAAGAAAGAAGGTAAATATTTTTGTACAGTTGTACTATGTGTTTGTATAACTGTTGAAAAACTTTTGAAAATTAAACTTTACACAACAAAAAAAAATTATAGTACGCTAAGGTGAATTTATTAAATGAGAAAAAGTATTTTTAAAATAAATTTACTGTAGCCAAAGTGAATACTGTATATACTAACAACAGCTACATTGGTGTACAGTAACGTCCTAAGCCTTCATGTTCACTGCCCACTCAGTCACTGACTCACCCAGAGCAACTGCTGGTCCTGCAAGCTCCATTCATGGTAAGTACCCTATACAAGTGTATCATTTTTAATCTTTTATACCGTCTTTGAATGTACCTTTTCTATGTTTAGATATGCTTAGATACACAAATAATTATCATTGTGTTACAGTTGCCTACAGTATTCAATAGAGTAACAAGTTTAGCCTAGGAACAGGAGGCTATATCAGATAGCCTCAGGGTGTCAAAGGCTACGCTGTCCAGGTCTGTGTATGTACACTGATGATGCTGGCACAATAGTGGAATCATCTCGTGATGCATTTCTTGGAATGTGTCCATGTGACGCATGACTGTACTACAGCAATACAAACTATCTTATTTTATGGCAGTCATGTGGGAATTTCCAAATACATAAGGAGGATGAGAAAATTCTCAGTGACAAATGTCTCAAAAATGATCTTGATGAATTAAAGAATGGTCTTCATATTCAGAATTCACCATCAGTAGTGAAAAATAAGCAGAAACTTATTTCTGCAGATGTATTTATAATTTTATAAATAAATTTTGTAATTTATAAATACATTATTTAATTTACTAATTTTATTAATTTATCTTAGGTTATTGTATTATATGTTTATAATTTATTATATAAATAAATTTATTATAATTATTGCTATTATATATTGTTATATCATCATAGCTATCATGTTATTTATAACTTTATAAATAAATATAGTAATTTATAAATAAATCAGTATGCATATTTGCTCCCAAAATTTCAATACAGTAACTGTCAAATATACTAATGTATCAAAATAATAACATCATGGAATTAGAACTCTAAGAACTTTGAAAATTCTCCCATTGATTATTTAATAATAAGATTTAGTTATTTTCCGTCTTTATTGACTTTTCCATTGTTTTCTTATCAAAGGCTATAATATTCATAGCATTTTGTTGATATGTCTCAGCAACAAGGGCATAAGTTTTGCCTAATTTCATGCATTTCTGGCCTTCATTAACTTGAGGTTGGTATCTTAAACAGTGGTTAAGGATACAGGGGCTTGAATCAGACTGTGTCTTTTCAAATCCATGTTCTACTATTCATTTGGTGCATATGGTGAACAGATTACTTATTCTGATATCTATTTTATCATCTGTAAAATACAGACAATACCTGCCTTATAAGATTGATTTTAAGGTTAAATAAAAATTATTTGTGAGAAATACCAAGCACAATTTTATAACAAGTGTTTGATAAATGACTGCATTTGCATTATTATTTACTTAATATTATTAATTATTACACTTATCTGTTAAATCTCTGGTAATTTCCCAGAGGAGAAGAAAAAAAAACTGACTCAAGTAACTTAGAACATTTTGTAAGTTTCTAGAAGAAATTGTCTTTTGGATATGAATTACCATCTGGAGAAATATCTGGTGTCTGTACATGCTTGGAAGCAGGTATGCATAAAGTCGAAGAACATCAGATTCTTGCCCTGAAGAAAGCACGACATTGACCTTCCTTGCCCAAGAATGAATGATTAAAAAGTTGAAAAGGTCTGTTTGTACATCGTTCAGGCCTTCATCTGCAACTATCAGGAAATATGGGTAACCCTCTTCCAGGAAACTTTCCCACTCTTCTGATAAGCATCCCGAAAATGTTGTTTGAACATCAATAGTGGTATTATTCTGAAGATGAAGAATTAAAGCAGTTCTCAAAGAAAGAAGTTCAGGGAAGTTGAAATAGGCATACTCAGCATCCTGTGGAGAAGGAGGTGAAGCACATTTTATTTCAAAATTATCATTTAATTGTTTAGTTAGCTAACACATCCAACAGTTGTGTTCTGTCTGCTTGTCAGGAAATAGAACCTTAAACTTTGACTGCCATTTCACAAATATTTGCCCAAAAAAAATCACAGTTTGGATTTCAGTGCATGTGTCTCCTTGAAGCAGACACATAATACTCAGAGTTTGTCATCCTTACCCTTCCACTGTCTAATTCTTTTCCTCTCCAATCTCACTTCAGAAAGAAAAAGAATAGAAAGCCAGTGGTGGATGTAAATCATCTGTATCAGGAAGCTGAGGTGAACCACTGTATTCTAGAGGATTGTTCCAGGCTACTCTGACTCTCCCGAAGCAACGTAGATTGTCTCATTATACAAAAATTAGGGCAGCCAACTAGACTACACACATTAGATCGGAAGCCTAGCTCTTTGTTCAAAACATTGCTGGCAAGCATTCAGCCATTGATTATGATTATGACTCGGTCTCACTCTGTCATCCAGGCTGGAGTGCAGTGGCGTAATCAGGGCTCACTGCAGTGTTGAACTCCTGGGTTCAAGTGATCCTCCCAGCTCAGCCTCCCAAAGTACTGGGATTACAGACATACACCACCGTGCCCAGCCAACAAAGCATTCTTAATGACTTTGCCTAGGCTCAGATATATTTTCCTCTGGGCTCATATAAACCGCCTGCTGAGTTTTGAAGACAGAAGTAGTTTTCAGAGCAGGAGAACTGGAATCCAATGTTCAACTGGGCCACTGTTGAGGAGCTTTCTCATCCTCTCTCATGATCCCATGTGTCCTTACAATAAAGTTATCTTCATTCAAATAAAACATAAGCCTAAGTGTGGTGATTTCTGAATACCGAGATCATGGGTAATTTTTTCTCTTCTTTCCTTTAAATTTTCTGAACTTTTATATTTATAATCTACTTTGTAATATGAAAAATACATAAAATAATCTAGGAAATTTTAGTTTTAGTTCTCTTATTATAAAAAAGAACTCAACTGACATGTTACCTTGAAGAAAACTACAGTAAATTGTCCTCCTTTGCTGATAAGATCCACAAGGTAGCGTTCAACCAGATAAAAGAAATGGAGGTTCTGCCCAGGCTTAAATGATATCTCACAGATACATGTGATAAGTAATGAATCTCCATCAATCAAAAAAAATTCAGATTCAACAAAGTCATTGAATAAACTGGAATAACTAAAATGAAAAACAGTTAAAACAAAAATCACATATGCATTAAATACTGTTCCAAAAAGGCAGTAACATCATTATTATCTCGTTATCATTATCATCGATAGCTCAATTTGCTGAGTTAATTGTCTCATGGCAGTGTCTACACTAAAGCTTTTCAAATATATCCACATGCACAACTATCCTTCACAGGAAGAAGGCAGGATTATTCACATCTTAGGCTCAGGGAGAGAGAGCAAATTGGCACAGCCTGATTGGATCAGGAATCTAGTACTTGTATCCTGCATGTAGACCTAAATTATATTTATTTTCTGCTTAATCCATCTCATTCCCTTACATGTGGATTCGCTGATGGCTACTGACACATGTAGCAAGAGGAAACTGTTTCCACTCACTATCAAACAGCTCTAAAAGCGCTGTGTTGAACAATCATATATACGTATATATAATACTGTGCAGTTATAACTATATTGTTATATATATTCTATACTATATATACTGATAGATATTTTATATGTATATATATTATACATACACATTGATATAAATACTGATATATATATATGTATATACATACACACTGATACATATATATTACATACTGTTGACCCTTGAACAACACAGGCTTGAACTGCACAGCTCCACATATACATGGATTTTCTTTTTCAATAAATACATTAGAAAAATTTTTAAAAATTTGTTACTATTTGAAAAAGCTCTCAAACCATATAGCCTACAAATATGAAAAATAATTAACTATGTCATAAACACATAAACTATACGTAGGTAGTCTATTTGAGCATTTACTACCATAAAATATACACACATCTATTATAAAAGTTAAAATTTATCAAAACTTATGCAACCACTTAAGACTATACATGGCACCTTTCGGAGTTGAGAAAAATGTAACCAAATGGTGAGCTGCACTATTAAATCATAACTGCATAAAATTAACTACAGTATATATGGTACTACTGTAATAACTTCCTAGCCACCTCCTGTTGTATGGTGGTGAGCAAGCAGTTCCTCTCCAGTAAACTGCTCTCCAATCACAATAAAATGTGATCTCTCGTGGTTCTGGCGTTATTTTTCATCATGCTTATTGAAATACCATAAACCCTAAATAAAACCATGGAATCCATATGAAGTGCCACTAGTGATGCCAGAAGTGTTCCCAAAAAGCAGAGACAGTCGTGACATCACAAGAAAAAGTCGAATTGCTTGAAATGTGTCACGGATTGATGCTTTCAGCTATAGCTGCCCACCACTTCCAAATAAATGAACCTAAGGTAAGGACCATCGTAAGATAAATATTTTAAAGAAATTAGTGAAGGCATTGTAGCAGCAGTCACAAAAATCTTGCATTTTTTTTGTGAACTATCTCACATTGAAAATGGAGCTTTTATGTGAGTGGGGGATTGCCTAAAAAGGCAAACTGACAAACTCTAATATGATTCAAGAAAAAGCAAAGTATCCAACAAAGCAAAAGGAAGACAAAAGAGCTAAAGCTGGAAAATCTAATGCCTGCACAGTATGGTTTGCTCATTTTAGTAATACGTTTGGCTTTACAAATGTGAGGAGAACGAGAGAAGCAGCTTCAGCCAAACAAGAGGCAGAAGAAAATCACTGAGGGGAAAGGATATCTCCTTAAATAGGTTTTTAATGCAGACGAAAGGGTCCAACAACAACAAAAAAAAAAACTCACAAAGAATATTTATTAGCAGGAAAGAAAAGTGAGCACCAGGATTTAGGGCAGGAAGGGACAGGCTAACTCTGCACTGTGCAAAGGCAGTTGGTTTTATCTTCAGGCCCGCCTTTATCTATAAAGCTGCTAACTCCTGAGACTTGAAGGGTAAAGATAAACAGCAGCTGCCAGACTTGAGTTGTACAACAAAAAGTCCTGGGCAACAGGGGTACAACAAAAAGCTCTGGACAATAAGGACACATTTTCTGGATTAGTTCAATTGATACTTTGTCCCTGAAATCAGGAAGTACCTCACCAGTAAGGGACTGCTTTTCAAAGTTCTTTTGATATTGGACAATGTCCCTGGCCACCTAGAACTACATAAATTGAATACCAAAGATGTTGAAGTGGTCTACTCGCCCTCAAACAAAATGTCTTTAATTCAGCCTTTAGATTAGAGGGTCATAAGAACCATTAAGGCTCATTACACACAGTAAGCTATGGAAAGAATCTATGGAAGAGAGCCCTGAATAGAGAGAGCATCATGAAAGTCTGGGAGGATTGTGCCAGTGAAGATGTCACTATTGTTATGATCCACTCCCACTTAATAAATACATTTTTGCTTTCATGTGATTCTCTTAATTTTCTATAGTAAGATCAAAGAAATAAGACGGCAGGCAGAGCCTTTGAGGGCAGGTTTTAGAATTTTCTCTTCATCCTAGAATCAAATATTAGCCACGGATGAATTTTAAGCAGGTGGCATTATGATGGGCTTTGCATTTTGAAAAAACGAGTCCAGCTACAATACAGAGAATAGATAGGAAGGGTGCAAACTCCTTGGTGGAGCAGAGAGAAAGCTACTGTAGTTGAGTTTTGGAGGAGTAAAAATTTAAACATGATCCTTCTGTAGGCGTGTGTTGAATGTACCCTACTCAGCCCTTGTTACAAGTTTATCTCTTTGTCCGTCTGGCGTGAACTTAGAAAAAAATAGAAAAATGAATCAATTAATTAACAATAATAAAAAAATTGTTAAACATATATTCTCAGCTGCATGGTAGTTCAGGACGTTCAACCCCAACATTGTTGAGTGCTCAACTGTCTATATATCAGTAGAAGGCCAAATGGACATACAGGAAATATGATAAGATGATTTCCTATCTTTATTACTATGATAATACTCACTCAGCTTTTGGCATTTCATCCATAATTAACTGGGACATTTTCTTTGAAAATTCTTTAAATACATGTCCTTCTAAATGTAAAAAAAAGAAAGAAAGAAAGACAATGGATTATTTTTCAATTGGTCCTTTTTATAGCAGCTATCATTTAGTTATTATTCAAGAAAGTAAAGCAGTAATGTGGCTTTTTAATTCTAGTAAATCTATGTAGTTTACAGAATCATTGTTTTATAATCTATAAATATTTTAAGTGGAAAATTACCCATTCTTGCTGCTACCTGTAGCAAGTATTAACGGTAGCAAATATCTTGTACTTTGGTACCTCTAAGTGACAGTTCTTAATAACAATGGCAGTCCTACAAAAAAAAAAAAAAGAGAGAGAAGAAAATGAGTCTTTACGTAACAAGTATGTATTGACTGACTACTACATGTAAAGCAAAATATTAGACACCAAGGATACAAGAATGAACAAATCAACATGCTCTCGCAGAGCTTAAAACTATCAGGAAAGATCATTATTAATCAGATAATCATGGAAATAACAGAACATTGCAAAAAGGACAAAGTCAAGAAGTCAGAGGAAGTTTCCCTAAAGAAATAATGCTTGAGCCGAGTTCTAAGAAATAAACAAGAATTAATTAGGCAAAAAAGATTAAAAAAAAAAAGTAGCATTTCTGGCAGAGGGAATACCAGAATACCATGTGTAAAGCTCAGTGGCATGAAGGATTGTGGGTGGCATTGGGTCCAGAAAGAAGCCAGTAGGGCTAGAGTAGAGACTATTAAGGAAAAGGCTAGAGAGGACTAGAGAGATATAAGCACATGCAGAGCCTTCAAAGTCATGTTATAGAATTGTATTCTTGTCCTGGAATCAAAAATTAGCCATTGATGGATTTTATGCGGGTGGCATTGTGATTGGCTTTGCATTTTGAAAAGATTAGTCCAGCTACAATATAGAGAATAAATAGGATGGGAGCAAACTTCTTAGCAGAGCAGAGAGAAAGTTACTGTGCAGGAGAGTAATGATGACAATTTGATGTAATATAGTTTGATGGTAGTTGAGATAGTAAAGCTGGAGAGATGTAGATCTTCTTGAAGGACATTTAGGAGATGAGTTTGACATACTTTGGAATTGGATTGGATGTGGATGAAGAGAGGAGAGGGTGTTGTCAAGGAAGACACAAGATTCTAGCTCAATTAACAGTATGGATGACTAGGCCATTCCTGGGCTGGGAACCTTAGAACAGGGCTACGTGTCACTACATTTGTGAATCACCTGAATTGACTTGCTTTCAAGGTCTCCCATAAGTCAAGATATGTAAGTAGTTAAATATACAAATCTAGAGGTCAAATACAAAGTCTGGGCTGGATTTGAAGAGGTAAGTCATCTGAGCATTAAAGATACTAATACTCAATATATGGCAAGAGAGGAGGAAGAATCTGCAAAGGTAATACAGAAAGAAATACTAAAGAGGTAGATGAAAATGCACTTGAGTATTTTGTCATGGAAACCAAATATTGAGACATTTGCCATTCAATATGTTAGGGCTGTGAAACAGATAAACAGATAGGTAGATACACATATGATTTATTGATAGGTTGTAGATAGATATAAAGATAGATCAATAGATAAGGAAGAAAGAAAGAGAGAGAAAGGAAAGGAAGGAGGGAAAGAAAGAAAGAAAAAGAGAAAGAAAGAGAGAGAAAAGGGAGGGAAAGAAAGAGAAGGAAGGAAGGAAGGAAGGAAGGAAGGAAGGAAGGAAGGAAGGAAGGAAAGAAAAGAAAAGAAAAGAAAANGAAAAGAAAAGAAAAGAAAAGAAAAGAAAAGAAAAGAAAAGAAAAGAAAAGAAAAGAAAAGAAAAGAAGAAAAGAAAAGAAAAGAAAAGAAGAAAAGAAAAGAAAAGATTCCTATTCCACAATCTTAAGGAACACACAATGGTGATCACATGCTGACATTAAATATTACAATAATAATGCAAGGAAGTATATGGCTGTAATGACAAATAAGTTTAAAGTAAAATGGAATTACTGTGGGTTGGGATGTTCAGGGATACTTAATGCATACAGGAGCATAAGGAGTCTCTCTCACTCACCCCGTTACTGTTTTATTTCAAAGATTATAGAGTATCTACACTTTACCAAACATTCCACTTGCTGAAATATATGCAAACATGCATGAAGCATGATTCTCTCCTTGTGTGACCTGGTGTAGGTTTAAAGATAATGAAGTCACACAGTATAGTCTAATTTGCTGTGTTCTAGCAGAAATGGCACAGGAAGCCATCACAGCATCGAGAGGGAGTTCCTAAATCAGAATGAAGGAATCAGGGCCCTGTGTTCTGAGGTTTAAAGGACAGGTTGAAAAGATGCAGACTTATGAAGTATGTTGGGGAAAGTGAGAGATACAGAGAATTACTTTTCAGGTAGCAAAATCAGCACCATTTTAATGCATAAAGTGGTGAAACTAGTTTGAGATGCTACGGGTTGTTCTACATGGCATAGATCAGTGTGATGCATTGGAGATGACACTGGAAAGGTAAGTAAGAATCAAACTATAAAGAGTCTTGTCTCCAGGTAAGGAGGTTAGGTATTTTCATAAACACTCTCAGTCACCCATTGGCCATACTATCTTTCTTCAACTCTCCAAATTGCACAAAGCTCAAATGGAAAGAAAGAGTCAGTGAGAACTGAACAGGCAAGAGAGAATTGACCCCAAGAATATTACAGAAAACTTCGGAAAGAATAGCATCAGATTCTACTTGTAAATTAAATGAACACCAGGTTCCCAGGTGTTCACGATGCTCTTAGAGTCTCAGGAATTTCTTTATGCCACTCCTAGGACAAAATCAATACCTAAGTGTTTCATCACTTATTTAGTAGTTAGCTACAAACAAATTAATAACTCTTTGTGTCCTGACAATTTAAAAATTATTTTAAGAAATGATATATATACATTAAAAGGGATAATACATTTTTAAAATTAAATAATTGTAACTATGAATGAGATGTGGGTGCCTGTTAAACACTGTGAAACGTTTCAACAATAGATATGGTGGCAAAATAAAACTGCCTTAGTAGGTAATCCCTCCTTACTTTGACAATCAAGGGATTCTATAGCCTGCCTATGGCAAGTTTGAGATCCTACAGGTTTCTCTACATAGCATAGGACGGGGTATGTAAGACAGGATATGTAAAGCCTAATAGGCTTTCCTCTTACATGCCCTATACCAGACTAGGCTTACATACCCTAGGCTTTCCTGTTACAAACCCTATACTACAGCTACCCTATTAACCTCTGCACCAACACATGCACGCCCTAACACTTAAGCAGAATTCACTGTCCCTATCTCCATGTCTTCTCTGTCATTTAAGGGAGAGACATAGTAGTGATCCAGCCCCCTGTAACAACTGATGATTGAAGACTCACACACAAACACATACACAAATTAGTACCAGCAGACATTTGAGGCACAGAAAAAAGCAGAAATAAGAAACCAGATGGATCTTCATGATTTTCTAATTACTGCTTTCAAAGAATTAAAAATATTTATCATAAAATAATAACAGTCTGCTAGAGAAAGTGAAAGCGTGCAAGCATTCGTACTAATTTAAAACATAATTTTACAAAGAAGAAAGTCATGTGCAGAAAAATAAAATGAGCATGGTGGAATTTTAAGTTAGTGATCTGGGGGGTTAAAGTCCAGGCAATTTCATAAAGGATAGAAGTAAAAGACAAAGAGATGAAAAATTTCTAAAAATTCTAAAAAATATGAAGGTAAGTGAATAAGCTCTTTCTCCACCTACTAGTAATTCTAATAGGACATAACTAAGATTCCAAAATGAGTAGGGATAAAAATGATCAAAGATATATATTTAAAGTAATATAACAATATTAGGCCAGAACTAAAGAACAACATAATATATTTAGATTGAAATGTTTTCCAACTACTGAGTAGAAATAATGACAAAAGAGAAAACTACACTTAAGCACAGCTTGTTAAAATTCAGAGCTCCAAGAAAAAGAGAAAGACTGATAAGCTACCAAGAAATGGAAGTCAAGCCATATGTGAACTGGTTTAAGGCATGAACACTGTTGGCAGACCATTTCCATTTTAATCTTGGTTCTGAAACATACTACAGTTCCAAAGGTTAGACAAATTATTTACCTTCTCTGAGTTTCCATTTACTCATCTACAAAATTGGAACAATAATATTATTCACCTCTGATTGTGTTTTCAAGCCTACTGAAATGTATAAACTGATGGATACAAATTGATTAAAATAATACCTGGCACACAGAACTAATTAAAATACGCAACATTCCTGGATGTTTTGATAAAATAAAACATTTTCAAATTTCTAAAGAGAAAATAATTTGAACCTAGAATTCTGCATCTAAATACTGATTCAATTCATGGAGAAGGCAAAAAGATGTAATTAGACTTTTAAGAAGTTATAAATTTCACCAACCGTATATCTTTTTTTAAATTTTACTTTAAGTTCTCAAGTACACGTGCAGAATGTGCAGATTTGTTACATAGGAATGCACGTGCCACGGTGGTTTGCTGCACCTGTCAACCGGTCACTTAGGTTTTAAGCCCCCCATGTATTAGTTATTTATCCTACTGCTCTCCCTCCCCTAGTCTCCCTCCCCCCAACAGACCCCAGTGTGTGATGTTCCTCTCCCTGTGTCCATGTGTTCTCATTGTTCAACTCCTACTTATGAGTGAAAGCATGGTATTTGGTTTTCTGTTCCTGTGTTAGTTTGCTGAAAATGATGGCTTCTAGCTTCATCTATGTCCCTTTTAATGATATAGAACTACATGTCTTAGCAAAGGCCATAAAATCATTCTTTTTTATGGCAGCAAAGTGTTCCATAGCGTATATGTGCCACATTTTCTTTATCCAGTCTATCATTGATGGGCATTTGGGTTGGTTCCAAGTCTTTGCTATTGTAAATAGTGCTGTAATCAACATATGTGTGTATGTGTGATTCATAATCCTTTGGGTATATCCCTAGTAATGGGTTTCCTGGGTCAAATGGTGTTTCTGGTTCTAGATCCTTCAGGAACTGCCACAGTGTCTTCCACAATACCAAGTATATATATATAATTTTATTTAAAGAGATAATACAGAAAATTGGGGAGAAAACACCAAGAATGAAGACAATCAAAACACAATGAAACATTTCATGATTCAGAAAAATTAAACAAAGCTATAAAGAAAAACGACAACCCATTGTACTTCAAATTTTAAAAGTCTATTTCAAACAGTAGTTTTAGTGATATAGAACTACATGTCTTAGCCTAGCAATTCACAGATTGCTTCTACCCTGAGTAATATGTACATACTCATAATTTTGCCACTGCTGTTCACTTTTTTTTACTGTTGACTCAACATAAAAACAACAAGAATTAAAGTCACAAAATACTGTAAAATGTGATAAACCTTGACAATATAAAAATAATAATATAATCAACCAACTTGGCAGTTCACAAACAGATGAATAAAAAGAAAAAGAAATATGTATGTTAAGTTCTTCATCTTTCACAGCAGGAAGTCCAGCAATAGCATCTGAAGACAATATATGAAAAATAATGGTTTATGGAATCAAGAAACTATCCTGCTTTTCTTCTAAGTACTGCATCATTGTATTACCAAAGAGTAGGCACAGGAATGATTCATTTCTAGAAATAATGCATCCCATTATTATTTCTAGATGACACCACAGCTCTGACAGACACCTTGATTTCGGCTTGATGGGATGCTGAGCAGAGGACTCAGTTTACCCATGCCTGGGCTTCTGATCCACAGCAATCATAAAATAGTAAACTTGTAAGCCACTAAGTTGGTGATAATTTGTTATGCAACAATAGCAAACTAATACCTGCCCCTTGGCCTCGAATAAAGTACCCTAAGTTATTGGAGTAAGGAATACACCACTATTTTCTTAAGCCACTGAAATTTAAGGATGCATCGGAATTACCTGAGGGATCTTATTAAAATGGAGATTCTGGGCTGGGATGAGCACGGTGGGTGGTCACGCCTGTAACCCCAGCACTTTGGGAGGCCGAGGTGGGCAGATCACCTGAGGTCGCGATTTCGAGACCAGCCTGACCAACATGGAGAAACGCCCCCCCAACCCCCTGTCTCTATGTGAAAAACAAAATGCAGATTCTGATCGTACAGGGATTGAAGAAGGGAGCTGCTTGCTGATGCCTGTGTCCAGGTTTTAGCACCAGGCTGCGCTCAGATCTGATGCTCCTTAGCTCCCCTCAGCCTCCAAGACCCAGCTCCCACCTTGGCAGAGGAGCACTCCTTCGAGGCCTAGGCAATCCTCTCTCTCTCTCTGGTGGGGTTCATGGCGACGCCCCTTTCCCAGCCCTCACCGCGCCTCCCCGGGCCAGCAGGGGGTTCCGCAGGTTCCTGCCCCGCTCCCAGCACTCCCGGGCCACCACCTCCTCCCCGAGAGCCACAGACGGAGGAGGAAGACCTGGAGCTCCCGCCGGACGCTCCGCCCCAGGCTCCTCCCGAGGGGCAGCCCCCCTCCTCACCGCGGACGCCGGACCCTTGGCGGCCAAAGATCCGCGAGCTGCGCCCTCGCGGCGAGGACTGGAACCGGGAACCCGCGCGGAGCCCGGCGGAGGCTCCAGGGCGCCTGGACCTGGGCTGGAACTGGCGCTCGCTGCCGCGCGGACGG